TTAACAGTGAATATCTTAAGCCGCCGCCTCTTTTTTAACCTTCTGAATAATGGACAAAATAATATTTAATAGGAGACAATTTCAAAGGAAACAGAAAAGGAAGTCCGGAGCCCAAGAAAATTGGGCTGCAGTATCTACTGAGAATTCATGTAAGAAAAGGACAAACACTTTGTAAGTGATGAACGGTTTAACAAAAATTGGACCCTATCACGAGCAGTAGTTATTTGACGTCTGCATAATTTGTTTCGCTCTTGCCTTGTGCACATGAACAAACTGATTTCTTGATCAATTCTTTCCACCCGGATGGGTGATTTGAACTTAGTTGATATTATAGGAAAACCCAAAACAAAAAGAACTAAATTTACTCGCTTATGATTTTAGTCCTATGGATGTGGAGAGGGTACTGATCTTTTCCTCTATCATTTTCTGTTAGTGTATTGATTCAGGGTTTCTTGTTCTTGAAAAAATAGGCTGTGACAAGGTGTGTGAAGGAAGCAGGAATCGGTTTTATGATGGCTCCAATCTACCATCCAGCAATGAAGGTTGTCATGCCTGTGAGAAAGAAGCTTAAAGTGAAAACTGTATTCAACATCTTGGGCCCAATGTTGAATCCAGCACGGGTGCCTTTTGCCGTGGTTGGTGTGTACAAGGAAGATTTAGTGAGTGTCTCACCTGTGGATTGTAAACTGAAAAGTCATTATACCATCCACAAATTCAACATATTGATTGGTGCATTTCTTTTCCTTGTTAACAAACTATGCTCTTTTTCTGTAATTTTTCTTGTTAGTTCTGAAAATCTAGCCTTTTTACATTTAGAGTGCACATTTCCAATGGCATGTTACTGNCTTTTTCTGTAATTTTTCTTGTTAGTTCTGAAAATCTAGCCTTTTTACATTTAGAGTGCACATTTCCAATGGCATGTTACTGTATCACAAATATGGACAATTTGTTTTCTGATTGACTGGTTATTGATTTACTGGGTTAGGACTGTACAATAAAGCTTTGCGACATTACATATTGCCCACCGTTTTATTTATTTGGACTCAGTACGAAGATGCTACTATATATTGGATATGCTTTGTTTAGTCCTCTTACATGGTTTTATGTGTAGAATATAACATGGTCTTATGGGTAGATTATTACATGGTATTCTGCATAAATTGTATTTTTTGATAGACTTGCGTAAAAAGAGCACGGACTTTAGGCTATAAATATCAGTAATTTGTTGGATGTGTTACTCAATAAGGTTCCTTTTTACATAGTTATTAATGTCGCAAAGTTTTCCATCCTTTGGATAGGTTCAAAAGATGGCTAACGCACTTCAACGATTTGGCGTGAAAAGAGCATTGGTTGTTCACTCCGAGGGCCTAGACGAAATGAGTCCCCTTGGTAAGATTCTTTCCAATTGCTCACTGCAAAAGTTACGTTAGTTTAAAGGCATCACTCAAACTGGAGCTCCTCTACTATTGATTCTGATTCTCCTATTCATTTCCCTTATTTCATGATCAGAATTCTTCTTTATTGTGCATTTGTTATCTGAACTGATGTCCACAGGACCTGGGATAGTCCTTGATGTCACCCCGGACAAGATTGAGAAGTTTTCATTTGATCCATGTGAGCATCTTTCCTTTATATTGTACTCGATTTACTTGTTTCTTTGTGTGATACTTTCAATCTATTTTTGATCCAATTACTCCCTAATATTTACCTACCTTATATCATATTATAGACTGGTGAAGCTCATTTGCAAAGCACTGATGCATCACTTGTACTTGTTTTTATAGTATTCTTGTTTTGGGAAAATTCTTCTAACATTGGTTTCATAGTCTCGTACTCTTAACAATATGAGAGTGATTATTTGGTAGTGGATTTTGGGATCCCTCGGTGTACCGTGGATGACTTGCGAGGCGGAGGTCCGGAGTATAATGCAGAGATACTAAGGCGTGTACTATCTGGAGAAAGTGGACCAATTGCTGATGCATTTGTAAGTTTAAACTGGCTCTCATTACCAAATATTGTTGCGATTTAGTTAGAGCACATCTTTTTAGAGATTTATTTGTGATGTATCGGAACAAGGAACACAAAGAACATTACAATTTTTTATATATCAAAGTAAAACGAATACTCAGAATCCACAGAGAAAGTAAAGAAAACTCTGAAATATATATAATATTATTAAATGAAAATTCCGTAGTACAAAGAACAATATAAATAAGAACGGTCAAAACACTAACCGTTCTCATAACTTAAGCAAAATTCTTAAAATTATGAAAATTACCAAAAAATGAAAATATGCAATTTTCTTAATTAACTTAAAAAACTCGGGTCCTCTGGAGTTTAACCAAACTGCTGGTGATGATTTCGGAATCTTGTATGATTTATTATTATTTTTCAAAATCTTTCTTAAAATGGAAAAAATGGGATTTTGAGAGTCAAATCAATGGAATTTAGCCCAAAACTAAAAGCAGTCATGGCGAAGTGTGAGTCTTGATCATTAACCTGATTTAGATCAAACACCACTGGTCTCATTGAATTTCGAGTCTGACCTATTTTGTTTTCTATTATTATTTTTTGGTTTTTTGTTGTGCTTTGAAGGCACGACGGTTAGCCTATTTCAAGTACTTTATTACCACTTGTTCTACATCAATAATATATGACCAAAAACAATCGATTAGGTGATAAATGCGGGAGCAGCTCTTCTGGTCAGTGGAAATGTAAACACACTGGCTGAAGGAGTGGCTCTGGCTCGGGAAACACTCCTATCCGGCAAAGCTCTCAAGACCCTTGATTCGTGGATAGATATTTCCCAAGTAAGTCAACTCTCTCCAGATTTTACTTGATTCTCTTGGTGGTTGAACATCACCGATCATTTTCTGATTCCATTTCTGTAAATATCGCAGGTGGTGAAAAAATCAGGCTTTGCAGGGACTACAGGATCGACATGAACATAGATTGTGGAGCTTCAACGTTGAAGACATGGCTTATTTCCCACAATAAGTTGGCAAGCTTTCAAGTTGCCAGGTGAGTGACTTAAAATTTTCTAGTCTATCGTGGTTTCATGAGTTCTAGTTCTATCCTTACTTTCATTGCACTCTATATGGAGACTTATCAAGTACTTTAAGGATTTTGTAACTTAAAAGTGTGTTGCGATCTTGAGATCTCTGTTATAAATAAATGTTTGTTGAGGTTGTATGTAGAATATGAACACTAAGAGCTATTAATTACTATATAATGAAATGGTATTGTAAGACTTCTTCTACCGGGTGTTGTGCCCAGTTTGACTCTTTTCTCTGTTCTTTTTTTTTTTTTTGGGAGGGAGAAGCAAGAGGGGAGAGAGACTTGAACCCTTGACCTCAAGAAGGTGGAGCTTTCACAAGACAAGGGCTACCATTGTATCAAAAGACCCATTGATAAAATAATAATGTTTCTCATTCGAACACCCATCATTATTCATAAATGGGAAGCCATTGAATAGATATATGGCTCTAGTCCTTTCTCCCGACAAAGAGGAAGTTTAAGGAAAATGTTACATAATTCAAATGAAACTCAAAAATTAAAATCCAAATAAATATCATCTCCTGAATGAGTGAGAGATGAGTGGTTACTACTAAAAAAATTGATGGATTTTACTCATTTAAGGGATAATATGTATTTAAGTTATAATTTTTTAGGTTTCATTTAAATTTTGTGGCATTGCTCTGGAAAGAAAGAGTGTCTTTTGTCCAATTGAAAAGTTGGGAAAGGTGGCCCTATTTGGTTTGTATTTTAGAAATTTTTTACTATTTTCAGAAACAGTTTTTGAGAGAAAAAATTATTTGNATGGTCAAAACACTAACCGTTCTCATAACTTAAGCAAAATTCTTAAAATTATGAAAATTACCAAAAAATGAAAATATGTAATTTTCTTAATAAACTTAAAAAACTCGGGTCCTCTGGAGTTTAACCAAACTGATGGTGATGATTTCGGAATCTTGTATGATTTATTATTATTTTTCAAAATCTTTCTTAAAATGGAAAAAATGGGATTTTGAGAGTCAAATCAATGGAATTTAGCCCAAAACTAAAAGCAGTCATGGCGAAGTGTGAGTCTTGATCATTAACCTGATTTAGATCAAACACCACTGGTCTCATTGAATTTCGAGTCTGACCTATTTTGTTTTCTATTATTATTTTTTGGTTTTTTGTTGTGCTTTGAAGGCACGACGGTTAGCCTATTTCAAGTACTTTATTACCACTTGTTCTACATCAATAATATATGACCAAAAACAATCGATTAGGTGATAAATGCGGGAGCAGCTCTTCTGGTCAGTGGAAATGTAAACACACTGGCTGAAGGAGTGGCTCTGGCTCGGGAAACACTCCTATCCGGCAAAGCTCTCAAGACCCTTGATTCGTGGATAGATATTTCCCAAGTAAGTCAACTCTCTCCAGATTTTACTTGATTCTCTTGGTGGTTGAACATCACCGATCATTTTCTGATTCCATTTCTGTAAATATCGCAGGTGGTGAAAAAATCAGGCTTTGCAGGGACTACAGGATCGACATGAACATAGATTGTGGAGCTTCAACGTTGAAGACATGGCTTATTTCCCACAATAAGTTGGCAAGCTTTCAAGTTGCCAGGTGAGTGACTTAAAATTTTCTAGTCTATCGTGGTTTCATGAGTTCTAGTTCTATCCTTACTTTCATTGCACTCTATATGGAGACTTATCAAGTACTTTAAGGATTTTGTAACTTAAAAGTGTGTTGCGATCTTGAGATCTCTGTTATAAATAAATGTTTGTTGAGGTTGTATGTAGAATATGAACACTAAGAGCTATTAATTACTATATAATGAAATGGTATTGTAAGACTTCTTCTACCGGGTGTTGTGCCCAGTTTGACTCTTTTCTCTGTTCTTTTTTTTTTTTTTTGGGAGGGAGAAGCAAGAGGGGAGAGAGACTTGAACCCTTGACCTCAAGAAGGTGGAGCTTTCACAAGACAAGGGCTACCATTGTATCAAAAGACCCATTGATAAAATAATAATGTTTCTCATTCGAACACCCATCATTATTCATAAATGGGAAGCCATTGAATAGATATATGGCTCTAGTCCTTTCTCCCGACAAAGAGGAAGTTTAAGGAAAATGTTACATAATTCAAATGAAACTCAAAAATTAAAATCCAAATAAATATCATCTCCTGAATGAGTGAGAGATGAGTGGTTACTACTAAAAAAATTGATGGATTTTACTCATTTAAGGGATAATATGTATTTAAGTTATAATTTTTTAGGTTTCATTTAAATTTTGTGGCATTGCTCTGGAAAGAAAGAGTGTCTTTTGTCCAATTGAAAAGTTGGGAAAGGTGGCCCTATTTGGTTTGTATTTTAGAAATTTTTTACTATTTTCAGAAACAGTTTTTGAGAGAAAAAATTATTTGGTCAATTATTTTTTAATGTTGTTTTTTGTTTTAGAGCTATTTCGTATGTTTTTGGAAATCATGTTTCCAAAATTTAGAAAACACCACCTCTAGCATACTTCCCCTCGCCCCTTTTAACCACGTCCACCACACCACCACGAGCACACTTCCATTACCACTATATTTTTGTTTTCATTGTTTTATGAGTTATTGTTTAAACAAGTTTTATTGTTGTTTATTCCGAAAAATTATTTTTAGAATCATTTGTGATAAAAAAATATCAAAAACAATTTTTTAAAATTCTTCCTAAAAACAATTTTTTGAATACTATTTTTTAAGACGCAAATTAAATAGATAAATAGAATTATCAGAACAGTGACTTTATATGAATGATTCATAAGATTAAGTTTGTCTGCAATTCATCCCTTTTCTAGCACGGCCAATTAAGGGCGGCCCCAACATCCACAAACCACCTATCCCTACCAATACTTGACCCACTGCCATCCCCATAACAAATGTACTGGGTGACATTATTCTCTGTAGGGTTAGGAGGATAGGCGGTTTGACTACTTGAATCCCATTTGTCCATTATTCGTGTGGCGTTTATGTTTAGGCGGGTTTGTAACCACTTGTTTATGCAGTGAATCAACTCCCAAATCTATTAGGCTAATACCATACCCATTAGCTTACTTCATGTTGTTTTCATAACATTATTAAAAAACCGTGTGAAGAACCCATCTTAAACTTAAAACACAACCTTATCAGAATCCAGTAATGCAATAAGAAAAGTTCACAAGGCCCCCCCATAATAGAGTAGAAGCAGCAGCTATTCAGACCACCAATAAAGCGATACTGTATTTGTCTGGTTCATCAACCTTATTCCATTATATACATGAGACTCTTAATGTTCAGTGTTTTAGAGCCGAGCATATATTTATTCAATGGCAACTGCATTAGCCAGCATTTGAACAAGTTTGCCTTGTTGGTGCAGTTCCACATCTCGTTTTGTTTTTTCACTTCAGCTTGATGAGAAAGTAACCAGAACACATACTAATATAAGGGAAAGGCTAGCCTTTCCAACTACTTTTTGTAATCAGTTTGGTCTAGGTACACGACTCAATCAAGTTTAGTTACGAGTTAATCAGATCGATTCTAACATGTTATTATCGAACCCAGCTTTTTTTGACTTGTAACTTGACCTTGATTGAGTCGTTTGATTTGGTCATAACTAATCTCAATTTTATTCGTACCGTACTGAACTCGATACATAGCCTTTGCCTTAATAGAGAAGCAGAGGTGTCGTCACCGCCAACATGTTTTCCACCGATGAAACACATTTAGTACGGTCGTCTGCCCAGTCCACTCTGCTAGAGCAGATTGAATCTCACTTCCGTCACCTTCATGTAAAAATTATTAATGAAGACATCAAAATCGGGGTTCGATAACGAGCAGTAAATTAGGCAATAGTGTTTGTGGCAGGAGTAACTACCGAATCTAGACTTACTTTCCTCATCCTATTCGACGACTTTGTAAGCTGCACCTAGGTCGGTGAGCAGTTGCTTAACCCTCCTGCAATATCCACAGCAGGTTTTGCTGCCAGTAGAAAGAAGTATCAGATAAAACCAAGTTATTCACAAAATTTTGATACTCTTACCTGAAGACAACGACAGGAGAGGAGGAAACAATATCCTTGACCTTAGACAGAGCCATTTGTATCTCTTCTTTGCGATTTTCACCCTGAATTGAAGAATAATGATCCTATCGCTGTATTATGGTACACGTTATATAAATGAGTTTTGTAGAGAGAGTAGGGACAACAGGTGTTGGAAGTTGGCGGCTGCTTCGTGTGTTGAAGAGCACCTAGGTGGCTTTGCCAAGCGGTGAGTGTGACCACCTTATTTTTTTCCCTCTTTTTTTGGAGTAAATTATATTGTTTATTTTAAAGTATTGTAATTTTTACTAAATTATTTATCAAATTTTATAAATCAAATTAATATAAGTGCTGCTGGTAAAAAAAAATATTAATATAAGTGGTTGAATTAATGAGTTCTACTCGGTCCTCCTACACATTCAATGCATAAAATTTTGTCATTATTTTTTGGTTAACTCGTTTGAGACACAGCTTGTCCCAAATTTTGATAATATTATTTAAACTTAATATATTGAATTAATTTATTAATATAATTTAATATAATAACTAGATTAATAACAAATTTTAATATTGTATAATGTCCATTGTCCCTCCAATAATTATAGTAGTAAGTTTGGTATGAATGACACTTTCTTGATGTTTTAAATTACAACATTCAAGTCCTTTACTTTCCAAATCATTAAAGTCCTTTCATTCTGAGGGTAGCAATTAGCTTAGTAGTGATGGTGCTTAGCCCTGTTGTTGGATCTTAAGGTCGTAGATTTAAACTTCACGGCCCCTTTCTCTTTAATAGTGTGAGACAAAAAAACAAAAATCCCTTCATTTTTCATTTTTGGCAAATAAGTCCTTCCACAAATTCATCTTGTCTATTGAAGATGTTTAACATTCCTTTTACTATTAACTTAATAGTCATGGTATTCTCACATTATTTTTGATACTTCTTTTTAGCTAGGCATGTAAACAATATTGTTTCCCACTCACTATCTAGGCAGAATCAAGTCAAGACAAATCTCATGTGGTAATGCTCAATTTGGTATGATGAAAAAATGGAAGGATGAAAAGTTAGAAGGATAAAAAGTTAGAGAGATAAATAAAATATCATGTTTGACAAGGAAGAAAAATAAAAATGATGGAAAAGTAGATAGATTAATTTTCCTTCTAACTCGCTAAATCAATCCCTCCAAAATTAGAAGGAAAGTGGATGAAAAGTTAATTATTTGTGTTGATATGTATCTTATTTGTTTATATATCTTATAATATTTATATAATAAAATAGCTTACAATAAACAAAATGACTTTTACTATTCGCGGTTGAGATCGCTTTACATTTTACTTTAAAATTAATCTAGCGGCTAATATTAGTATCCTAAATTTAATAGAAAAAATAGGCCTTAAAGGTTGTGTTTGGAACTTTGGAGTGATTTTTTAAAAGTACTTTTAAAAATTATTTTTCATAAATATTTTTTTTAAAAATAGTGTTTAAACCGTTCCACCACTACCTCTACCACCACCACTGCCACTGCCACCACCACCACCACCATCGTCGCCACCACAGTTATTGTAACCCACGATGTCTCACCCCCCTATAAACTGATGCTTAAATTCCTTTATTTCTTCTCTATGTTTCGTGATTTAATTTTATATATGAATATAAATATATTTATTGTTTACTATTTTTTATTATTTTCTGCCTTCAGACACAAACAATAATTAGTATACATATATTATGTATACATTAATTTTGTAGACATAAAATGTTAATTATTTGTAACTATTTATTAAACATTGACATAATTATTATATAATTTTTTTTTTACTTATTATTATTATATTTATTTAAGTAAATTTTTAGTTTGTAAAAAAAAATATTAACATGAATTCAATTAAATGAAAATAGAATACTAGCATTAAATTTTTTATTGAAAGTTTACGTGGGTCAACACGAATATGAACACAAACACAACATGAAAATAAATAGGTCACCTCGCAACTCGACACAATACAATTTGTTAAATGAGTTAAGTTAAGTTTGACTAATATTCGATACAAACTCGTAATGATTCAACACGAATCTGACACGAGACGACTCGATTGTCACCCTTAATTTTAGCCAATACAAAAAAAAAAAATTAGTCATTTTTATTTTCTATCCATTCAACCATACGCAAAGGAAGGAAAGTGTATTCCTCCTACTTTCTATCCTTTTTATCAAACGGAGCATAATGCTCTGTTTGATATGATAGAAAAATGGAAGAATAAAAAATTTGATGGATAAATAAAACATCATGTTTGGTAAAGAAGGATAAAAAAGTGAATAAATTAACTTTCCTTCTAACTCACTCAAATGAATTTTTCTAAAATCGGAAGGAAAATAGATGGAAAGTTAATTATTTATGTTGAGATATATTTTATTTGTCTATACAATGATAGAAAAAATATATATATTTAAAAATTTTAAAAATAAAATTAAAAATTAAAAATTTAAATTAAAAATAATAATTTATCTTAACTAGAGGTGAAAATTTTCGACTCAATTCGATGACACGACTTGAACTCGATGCGAATTTTATGATACGAACTTGAAAATGATCTGACACGCAAACAAAAAATATAAAAGATTCATAATTTTATAACTCAACACGCATTTGACATTACACAAGTCGATTGTCACTCTTAATCTTAGTTAGCACAAAAAAAAATTTAAAAAAATTAATCATTTTTATTTTTCATCCATCTAATCAAACATAAAAGAAAAAAAATGTATCATTTATATTTTTTATCGTTCCTACAAAATGTAACGTAAGTATGAAAGGCATGATTGAGACTATGATCCTAATGTTGTTTCATTCTTACTTCTCACACACTCTATTTTTAGCAAGAGTCTCATTCCCATAATATTTTAAGAAATCCTACATTGTATTTCTAGCATTTGACATAAATACTCGGATAAACTACATTTAGCCACCTTAAAGTTTGTCACTAAACCACATAAACTCCCTCACGTATGAAAAATAGCGTTGTTATCTCATGTTAGTAATAGTTCCACAAAATGACCATTTCATTCTTAACCAAAACCAAATTACTCAAACCCAAATCAAGCATAAAATATCAAAAATTAGACTCGAATTCAAACCCACGAAGTAATCAGAAATAGATAAGATTATTCAGATTGTTTTGTTTCTCACGTTTAGCTTGCCACCGCACACCTCCTCCACCAATGACCATCATTTCCCATCCTTGGATTGATCATACTAGTTGGAATTTGATTATTGAGAAGGGAAAGGTATTTTTGGTAGATAATTTGGAATCATTAAACCCTACCCACTTTATTTATAACCTACTGATTCAATTATAGTTTTTATCCAAATATTGATACACATACCTGAATGAATGTGTTGGCAGCAAGTGATTTTTTTGGAAAATTTTACTGAAAATTCTTACACAATTCATTAAAATTCAGCACAATTGAGTTTTTAGGGATGAATCAATTGAATTTGTTGACACTAGAAATTGTCTGTTAATCGTCCAAAGAGAACACCTGAAAAGCAAGTTGAAGATCGAAGGGGCTAAAGGGTTCGATCATCCCACGCTTAAGTTAGAAATGACACGAGAAATTGAATACCAAATTGGATTGCTTTCCTTCCTTTTATAGGCATCATGTTACTGCTGAGGGATTTTTATCCCTTAGTTTGAATTAAGATGAATCTCGAGTTTTCGGTTCTTAAATGGAAGTAAATTTATCCCTTAAGGGCCTGTTTGTTTGCAGTATTAGATTTGCGTGGTATTAGAAATCATTTACATTCCACTCCTATCCAGTAGTATATAATACCCGGTCTTATATTTTTATCTCATCTTTTCCCTTGTTTGTTTGTTCAATAGGTATTATAGTGGGTCCCACAAACAACCATATATTCTATCACATCTTATATAACAAATATATCATTTTATCCTTAATATCATCCATTCCATTCAAAATAATATATTTAAAATAATTTAAAAAAACCGGTGACACTGTACGATTAAACATAATATAAGGAAAAAATTCAAAATAATTTCTTTTTAATTTTTTTTAAAAAAAACCGGTAACACCGTACGCTTAAACATAATACAAAAAAAAAATTCAAAATAATTTTAAAAAAAACCGTTAACATCGTACGTTTAAATATAATATAAGGAAAAAATTTAAAATAATTTTAAAAAAAAAACTGTTAACATTGTACGCTTAAACATAGTAAAGGAAATAATTTTAAAAAAAAAACCGTTAACACTGTACGGTTAAACATAATAAAAGGAAAAAATTTTAAAAAATTTTTTTAAAAAAAATTAAAAAAAACGGTGACATCGTACAGTTAAATATAATATAAAAAAAAATCAAAATAAATTTTTATATGTGAACTCTTCGCATAGGAGAATATTTGTGTCATTTTATTCTCTTATACCTCCATTTCATTTGTACCAAGAATATAATACCACCAAGTAGGTAGTATTGTTTAGTACCATACAGAAGGCATAACAGTGATTGTTCACACTGGATCAGTACTATGACCCAAAAAAAAATATTGATTAAAAAATGTCAAACAAACAAGATATAAAATAGGTCCCACTTACTATTTTTTTAATCCCACCCTTTTATACCACTCTTATCCTGCAACCAAATATGCCCCAAGTGAGCTGAGTAGTCAAATATGTCGAGATATCGACTTGGAGAATTGTCGAACTCCTTTCCGAACAAGTCAAACTCATGCTCTACCAAATTTACTCTCATTAGAATATAGATCATAAAATTTAAATTCACCAATTGTTCAAATCAGATTTCACATAAATTTTTTATAATCATAGTGTTTACATCGATCAAATTTTGATTTAAATTTGATCCATAATATGTATAACACAAATGCACCAACTAGCAACCAGCAAAGTGAAAGCCACGTTGATGCAGCTGCCATTATACATTCAAGGTCAAGGTATGTATTCTCAGCCTGATTAATAATTTAGAAGCAGCCATTACCAACTTTAATCATCACATGCTTAGGGAAAATCATACTTTTCACCCCCAAAATATTTAATAATTTTTATGTCACACTTTTAAAAATTAAATTTTCAGAGTGCATCCTCAATTTATTACAAGTGTAATAATATGATTCTTCCATTAGTTTATATTATTCATTTTGTCAAAAATTATCACATCAACATTGACAAAATTAATAACGAAAGGGCACCCAATGAGAAACTAATAAGACTTCCTCGTTGGGGCTTTGCGCATTGGGAAACGGTCTAGCGATAGGAAACCGGTCACTAGTCATTTGTAACGCTTTTAATATATTGAGGAAATAATGTAAAAAAATTAATCTTTAAAAGTATAAAATAAAATTGTTTAAATGTAGTAGGATCAAAGTGTAATTCGCCCCCATGTTGGTATTTTTAATGTTAAAAAGGCATTTCCACTACGAGACTGGCAATGATCAAGTCGGACCAAAAACCTACAAAAGAAAGCTTAAAACCAGGAGGGGAGAGGAGCATAAAGTACGTAATAAATGCTTTGCAGGGTATTTTCGTCATAATGAAGAAAGTAGGAACTCCACTGTGTTGTATTGTTTTGTCACCGAGTCACAACTCGTTTGGTGAAACTTCAGGTTTTTCATTCTATCAAATCCCCAAGGCCAACCCTTAGAACCACTTCCACAAAAAAAATCGTGAATTCCACACGCTTGTATTCACAGCAATTAATTAACATAATGGTCACCGGCCCGATTATTAAACTTAAAAGTTTCGAGTTCGAAATNTAGAACCACTTCCACAAAAAAAATCGTGAATTCCACACGCTTGTATTCACAGCAATTTATTAACATAATGGTCACCGGCCCGATTATTAAACTTAAAAGTTTCGAGTTCGAAATTTATTATACCTTTTTTTTTTTTATGATAGAGTTTGACAAAAAAAAAATTCAAAAAATTTGAATTCGGTAAAAATTCGACTTGATTTTGTTTCGTTAAGACCCGAATTTAAGTAACATGTGGTTTTGATAGGTTTCTATCAATAAATAAATAATATTGGTCTTCATTTATTTAATTTTTAGATGTATTTGTAAATTGAGTTTGATTTTTACTTTAGTTTAAGTTGAATACTCACAAATTTCTATTGAGGCGAGTCAAAGTAAGAATCTAGACTTAGAAGTCGAATCACCAATAAAAATTGACCCGAATTTAAGTATAAATAAAAAATTTTATAAATTCGACTTGATTAATATCCATAATATTAATGGTATTATTGTTGATTGTTGGTGATCATCCACATGTTTGCCAACTTATTGACCAAAAATGGAATAGGCAAAAAGGAAACATACCCCCCCCCCCCCCCCAATTCACTCCTTATATTTGGAAGTGGAGAGAAATTAATTAAATATAACGGTATCTACTAATTATAAAATTTATCGGTTTTATCTTGATTTTTATTGAGGTGAAATACTTGATTATTCAATCGGTTCAAGTTATGATCAAGAAATATATGAATTAAAATTTTACATTTAATAATGAAAGTAACTGGTTTTTCTCTTTTATTTTTGGGGGAAAAAATTAAGACTTTAAACTGATCCCAAACACTTCTTGATGATGCAATTTATCATCCACTCAATTCAATTCATTTGTATTCTCTTAATGGTTGAAAATGCTCAATTAAATAAAAAAAAATGAGTTGGATTCAATAATAACATCTTCAACCATGATTCAAATTTGAGTAAAAAATTTAATTTGATACAAAAGATTCCAATGTATAAATTCAAATTTAAATAAGGGTAAACTCAAATTTAAAAGATAATAAATATGACTATTGAATATTTAAAAGAGGTTGAAATTTCACCATTAAAAATTTGGGTAAGGATTTGAGTCTCTCTTGATTTGAAGTTAAAAATGAGTTTTCTTTGATTTAGTATAAGTTTGATGTTGGATCAAGTTTTTTAAACTTTTTTACTCAAATTTAAGAGTAATGTTAGATGAACCTAAAAACTAGACTTGATAATCCCAATTATTGACTAGACAATGGGTCTTAATAAATGCTAGGATCCACAGTGAAATTAATGGTTGTAATTATCAAATATAATTTTTAAATCTATTTTTTAATACTACAAATTTTAATTTGAATATAAATTTGAATCTGGGTTAAAAATGCTTTAACATGATATGAGTAGTCTTATTTGACTATAAAAACTTAACTTAATATGAAGACACGATTTGCAAGAGATATGGTCCTAATAAAAAAATTGAATAATTAAAATTATAATAATATTATTGAATTTTGTCTTTATCACATCATCATATCCATCACTTAAGTCAAATGCTTAATGTACAAATAACATATATATATATTTATGTGATCATTTCTAAGATGAGGTTATTTTGACCCCATCAACTCATCTCTATGAGAATAAATTCTAGGTATCGGTAATTATTCATAAACCACGGGTATATATAAGTTAATCCTACGAAATATCAAGAAAGGTCAAATTTTTAAGGTATAAATTTACTATTCGTTTAAGTCTAACACAACACCGCTCAAGACAAATAATATTACCATTGAGATCATGAATAGTTGGAATTTATTACCAAAATACAATATTTTTTAAACAAAAATATCAACCTATCATACTTTTAAATTTATTTACCGATTTACGGCAATTTTTAAAAACAAAATTAACGATTCCGCTTTCATTGTTGAAAGTGAAAATTGTTGATTCCGCTTTCATCATGAAAGCAAAATTAACAATTTCGTTTTTAACAAGTGATATAACAAAAAGAGAAAAAGAATATTTTTGTAAATATTAAAAGCATTTTTGTTGATTTAATTTTTAAAAAATGCAATAAATCAATAAACAAACTTAAAAATGGGATAAATTAATATTTTTATTTGAAAAGTGTTGTATTTTGGTAATAACTTCTTAATAAAGTAAGATTGTTTTGGCTTCTTTAGAGCAACTCTAATGTGAGTTTGCAATAAGGGGTGGCATCCTCATAACTGTTAAAATGTCACTCTAATTTCAAAAATTCGAATTCCAATGGGGGTGGCTTCAGAGGTGTCAAAATGATATCACAAGTTTTGGGGTGACATATTTGACAACTTTGGAGAGATAATTGAGAGGTTGCAAAAGAGCCGTTGGTGTTTACTGCTCCTCTCAACGGCTATATTCAACCCAAAAATTCTATAAAAATACAGAGAGAAGAAAGGGAGAGGAGGCTTGCCTGAAAATTTGTTGGTCTGTACTGCTCCCAAAAAATCGCTTCCCTGAACCCTTGCCTTTGATATCGAAAATCCTAACTTCCCTGAACCCTTGTCGTTGATGTACTGCTCCCTATCAATCCGTTGGTGTACTGCTCTCTGAAACCGTTGCCATTGTAAGTTGCAGAGGGCGCAGGGGAAAGGGAGGGAAGGGGAAGAGGTGGGAAGCGTTTTATTTAGGAGAAGGGAATGCGTTGTANTAAGGGTACAAATTAAAATTCAAACAATCTTTGAGGTACAAAATGAGATTAATCATTTTCTTTTCTTTTCTATTCTTCGTCAGGTGCTGTGTGTGTGTGTGAGAGAGAGAGAGAGAGAGCTTCTCCTTGTTAGTACGCTAAAATCACAACCTCCAACAACGCACTTCCACTCGCTCTCGCTCTCTGCTACTCCATTTCCAGTATTAATTACACTTTACATTTCATCATTCGAACCTCCCTTTCTCTCTCTGTACCTCTTTCTCTCTCTCAGGAACTGTACTGTACACGATTCTCCATAGCTGATCTTCTTCTCGGTGCAGAACTTCGGATGATGGATGAAATGTACGGACTTCACTCTACGGCAGGGTACACGGCGGCGCAGCCGCCTTCGCCGGAGTATGAGGCTTTTGAGTCGAGCAGTGTTCCGATATTTGGATCGGAGCATATGTTGTCGGCTAATTCGGCTGTTTCAGATACTGCTTCTATGCAGAGAAGTGTCGGAGGATTAGAGGAAGAGAGTAATACCGAAGCAAAGCGAGCAAAAATCGCTTCTCATCCTCTCTATCCTAAGTTGCTTTCAGCTTACATCGATTGCCAGAAGGTACAAACCTTTTGTGCAGACTTGTTGCTAGCTGAAGGACTTCTCTCTCTCTCTCTCTTCTTGACTGTCTTTTTCAGCATAGATAAGGCTATGGGGTGTATCAGTTACAGTTGGATCTGTGATGAAGCACAGTAATAGTACTGTGCATAGTAGTTATGTGCCTAAGTCATTCCTTTCTCTGGTCTCTACTAAAATTTCTTCCATCGAGTTTGCTTTTTGCTGAAAGTCCCACAGTCCCACTTGTTCGGTACAATTCCAAAAACATCGTTGTCTTGACCTTCGAATGAGCCTATTCAAATGACACTTTGGCCTACTTAGAAAGTATAATCTGCAACTATTTTGTATTACTTTGTGTAGCTCTTCGCAGGCCAATTAGGGTTTATAGTTTTATGGTAGTAGACTGTGCATAATATGGGGGCGTTTAACTGCATATTTACATGTGTATATATGTATGTGTGATCACTCGTTGTTTACGTTTTATCTCTCAGGTCGGAGCACCACCGGAGATAGCCGATCTGTTAGATGAAATCTGCAGAGGAAATGATCCTGGCAAACGAAACGCTATTTCCAGTTTCCTGGTCGACGATCCTGACCTCGACGAGTTCATGGTCTCTCTCTCTCTATGGCCGAGTTTTCTGACTTTTTTGTTCTCTAGAATTTCTTCCTCTAAATGGTTTTTTTTTCTTTTTCATCCTCTCTTCCTCCTTTTTTTCCGGTTATTCTTCTTCATCCTCTCTCTCTCTCTCTCTCTCTCTCTCTCTCAGGAAACTTACTGTGAGGTATTAGTGAAGTACAAGTCGGATCTGGAGAGTCCTTTCGATGAAGCTACTACGTTTTTGAACAACATTGAAGCCCAGTTCAACAATCTCTGCACCGGTGCTTCCAGAAGTTACGTTTCTGGTCTCTCTCTCTCTCTCTCTCTACATCAGACATGTTTATAGTTTCTTTAATCAGCTCCTTGATTTTTGTGCTTTGTAGAATTTCGTGTTTATTTCATTGCAACATGATGCGCAAGTTAGCTTTCGACTTGGCGCTTCNTAATACAAATTTCTATATTTGAAGGTGTAAATTGAGATTTTTTATCTTTGGGGATGCACATTGATACAAATTTCTATCTTTGAGGGTGTAAATTGAGATTTTTGATCTTTGGGGGTGCACATTGATACAAATTTTTATCTTTGAGGGTATAAATTGAGATTTTTGATCTTTAANGTTATTTGGACCTAAAAATTTGATATAATTTGTTGATTTAATTACGTGGTTTTATTGAAACTATTGGATTAACACCAAGTTTCAATGTTTGATGGAATCCACAGTCAATCCAAAGGTCACAGTGAATTAAGTTAGCAAATTAAGTTAGTAAATTAGGTCCCAATAGCATTGTTCTCACCGAAAAAACCCTAAATGTGATCAAGAACACCTTGTTTTATAAAAAAGGACTGACTGTTCTCTTTTAGAAACAGAAGAGGGCAGTGTTGGGAATGTGTTATTTAGGAGTTAGGAGCCATGATAACCAAAAATAATTTTTCAGTATAAATGATTTTTACCCCTAGATTTTTTATTGATTTATTTATATCCATTGATAGTAAAAACGATTAATTTTCTATGTCTCACATTTTTATTAGACGAAAAGACAAAGTATGGTACCACAAAATTATTTTTCAGTAGTGTAGATTTGGAATTAGGGTTTGAAAGTTTGTGAACACTAATGTATGTCATTCTACCCTTTTCCTGTTTTCACAAGGAACAGTAAAGTTTTTATTGATATGCTTGGAGCCAAGTGCTAACCTTGAATAAAACAATCTTCAAGAATACTTCTTTGGGTTTTGTAGACAGTACTCAAGCTCCCTTGTTTTTACTTCCTAAAAAATTTTTTTTTTACAATTACATCCGCAAAAATATGGACTCCAGACAAGCTTTATCTACAGGTCGGGTGACTTAACATTTCAGTCTGTCTGCATTTTTACATTTTGGCCCCAACATGTCTTGAGGGTTTATAAATCCTTCAAAACTTAATTAGGTTCTCTCTGATCAATTTTTTGTTCAAAAAAATGTTCTCTAACCTTTCATTGGAATCCTTTTTACCATTTCCTTGCTAACAAGGAGGTATATATAAGCCTCTTTGACCACTTGACTAATCCTTTCATTAATATACACATATTTCCCTCGTTTCTACCTTACGGGATAGGTCTAGTCATCTACATGACTGGTCTTACAGTTTCTTTTTAATTGCTTGTTTCAAACTTTCTGGGGGTTATGGGGAGTCTACCTTTCTTCTAGTAATCAATTCAATGAACAAGATCTGTAGGTCAATTAGCAAAACAATTCTAGGACTTCTCGTCATCCCTCCCCAAAATCCAACACTAAGTTTTCATGATGTTTTCCCTCCAACGCCCAAGTCCAACAACAAGCAATTGTTTTTCCTTAAGCTAATAATGATTGTAAAATCTATGATATTACAACCTTTGCAATGAGGTTCACTTCTAATGATCCTAGCCTATGATATTACACCTTAGAGAACAACAAAACACTTTGGTTTAAATTGACTTCCACACATCAAAATTAGTGGGGCAACTTGTGGTGATGCTTGGATTTGAGGATTCCAATCACATGCTATCAAACTTAGAACATACATCAAGTTTATGTTTTCATAATGCTATGTGTTGATGTATTAGTGATACTAATTCTCAAGAGAAACATCTGGATTATTTGTTTTGGACCTTGCTTGAGGGATTTATATTGTGCAATAAAATAACTTAGACATCCTTTGTATTTGTCATAGCTTCTTTTGGCTGTAAGTATTGTTGTTTTTTCCGGCCTTCCTTTTCTTTTCCCCCTTCTTTTTAACGACGCTGGTACGGCTGCAATACATTTTATTCCTTCCTTCTAAAATAGGTTTAGGATCAAGGTTAAACAATGCTACTTGTTTTGCTATCTTATCGCTATCTAATAGGTATAACTTCTGTATCATATATCTGTAGTACCAAAAATCTTCAATGGTGTGACTCTACTTCCTACATGAAGTTTTTGATGAAAAATCATATTCATCTTTAAATAAATTCGTGCAACTTCAATCTAGAAATTTGGTTTATCTATGCGCANCGAAAATCGCTTCTCATCCTCTCTATCCTAAGTTGCTTTCAGCTTACATCGATTGCCAGAAGGTACAAACCTTTTATGCAGACTTGTTGCTAGCTGAAGGACTTCTCTCTCTCTCTCTCTTCTTGACTGTCTTTTTCAGCATAGATAAGGCTATGGGGTGTATCAGTTACAGTTGGATCTGTGATGAAGCACAGTAATAGTACTGTGCATAGTAGTTATGTGCCTAAGTCATTCCTTTCTCTGGTCTCTACTAAAATTTCTTCCATCGAGTTTGCTTTTTGCTGAAAGTCCCACAGTCCCACTTGTTCGGTACAATTCCAAAAACATCGTTGTCTTGACCTTCGAATGAGCCTATTCAAATGACACTTTGGCCTACTTAGAAAGTATAATCTGCAACTATTTTGTATTACTTTGTGTAGCTCTTCGCAGGCCAATTAGGGTTTATAGTTTTATGGTAGTAGACTGTGCATAATATGGGGGCGTTTAACTGCATATTTACATGTGTATATATGTATGTGTGATCACTCGTTGTTTACGTTTTATCTCTCAGGTCGGAGCACCACCGGAGATAGCCGATCTGTTAGATGAAATCTGCAGAGGAAATGATCCTCGCAAACGAAACGCTATTTCCAGTTTCCTGGTCGACGATCCTGACCTCGACGAGTTCATGGTCTCTCTCTCTCTATGGCCGAGTTTTCTGACTTTTTTGTTCTCTAGAATTTCTTCCTCTAAATGGTTTTTTTTTCTTTTTCATCCTCTCTTCCTCCTTTTTTTCCGGTTATTCTTCTTCATCCTCTCTCTCTCTCTCTCTCTCTCTCTCTCTCAGGAAACTTACTGTGAGGTATTAGTGAAGTACAAGTCGGATCTGGAGAGTCCTTTCGATGAAGCTACTACGTTTTTGAACAACATTGAAGCCCAGTTCAACAATCTCTGCACCGGTGCTTCCAGAAGTTACGTTTCTGGTCTCTCTCTCTCTCTCTCTCTACATCAGACATGTTTATAGTTTCTTTAATCAGCTCCTTGATTTTTGTGCTTTGTAGAATTTCGTGTTTATTTCATTGCAACATGATGCGCAAGTTAGCTTTCGACTTGGCGCTTCTTAGCAGGGCAAAACACTAGTGAAGAAGAATAATTGATTTCGGCATAAAAATCTGCATTAATTCCAAGATAACATTTATTCCTACTGAAACATTCGGACTTCCAGATTTGGCAATAACAATAAAGCCTACGCCGAAAGGAAAATGTTATTTGGACCTAAAAATTTGATATAATTTGCTGACCTAATTACGTGGTTTTATTGAAACTATTGGATTAACACTAAGTTTCAATGTTTGATGGAACCCACAGTCAATCCAAAGGTCACAGTGAATTAAGTTAGCAAATTAGGTTAGTAAATTAGGTCTCAATAGCATTGTTCTCACCGAAAAAACCCTAAATGTGATCAAGAACACCTTGTTTTATAAAAAAGGACTGACTGTTCTCTTTTAGAAACAGAAGAGGGCAGTGTTGGGAATGTGTTATTTAGGAGTTAGGAGCCATGATAACCAAAAATAATTTTTCAGTATAAATGATTTTTACCCCTAGATTTTTTATTGATTTATTTATATCCATTGATAGTAAAAACGATTAATTTTCTATGTCTCACATTTTTATTAGACGAAAAGACAAAGTATGGTACCACAAAATTATTTTTCAGTAGTGTAGATTTGGAATTAGGGTTTGAAAGTTTGTGAACACTAATGTATGTCATTCTACCCTTTTCCTGTTTTCACAAGGAACAGTAAAGTTTTTATTGATATGCTTGGAGCCAAGTGCTAACCTTGAATAAAACAATCTTCAAGAATACTTCTTTGGGTTTTGTAGACAGTACTCAAGCTCCCTTGTTTTTACTTCCTAAAAAATTTTTTTTTTACAATTACATCCGCAAAAATATGGACTCCAGACAAGCTTTATCTACAGGTCGGGTGACTTAACATTTCAGTCTGTCTGCATTTTTACATTTTGGCCCCAACATGTCTTGAGGGTTTATAAATCCTTCAAAACTTAATTAGGTTCTCTCTGATCAATTTTTTGTTCAAAAAAATGTTCTCTAACCTTTCATTGGAATCCTTTTTACCATTTCCTTGCTAACAAGGAGGTATATATAAGCCTCTTTGACCACTTGACTAATCCTTTCATTAATATACACATATTTCCCTCGTTTCTACCTTACAGGATAGGTCTAGTCATCTACATGACTGGTCTTACAGTTTCTTTTTAATTGCTTGTTTCAAACTTTCTGGGGGTTATGGGGAGTCTACCTTTCTTCTAGTAATCAATTCAATGAACAAGATCTGTAGGTCAATTAGCAAAACAATTCTAGGACTTCTCGTCATCCCTCCCCAAAATCCAACACTAAGTTTTCATGATGTTTTCCCTCCAACTCCCAAGTCCAACAACAAGCAATTGTTTTTCCTTAAGCTAATAATGATTGTAAAATCTATGATATTACAACCTTTGCAATGAGGTTCACTTCTAATGATCCTAGCCTATGATATTACACCTTAGAGAACAACAAAACACTTTGGTTTAAATTGACTTCCACACATCAAAATTAGTGGGGCAACTTGTGGTGATGCTTGGATTTGAGGATTCCAATCACATGCTATCAAACTTAGAACATACATCAAGTTTATGTTTTCATAATGCTATGTGTTGATGTATTAGTGATACTAATTCTCAAGAGAAACATCTGGATTATTTGTTTTGGACCTTGCTTGAGGGATTTATATTGTGCAATAAAATAACTTAGACATCCTTTGTATTTGTCATAGCTTCTTTTGGCTGTAAGTATTGTTGTTTTTTCCGGCCTTCCTTTTCTTTTCCCCCTTCTTTTTAACGACGCTGGTACGGCTGCAATACATTTTATTCCTTCCTTCTAAAATAGGTTTAGGATCAAGGTTAAACAATGCTACTTGTTTTGCTATCTTATCGCTATCTAATAGGTATAACTTCTGTATCATATATCTGTAGTACCAAAAATCTTCAATGGTGTGACTCTACTTCCTACATGAAGTTTTTGATGAAAAATCATATTCATCTTTAAATAAATTCGTGCAACTTCAATCTAGAAATTTGGTTTATCTATGCGCACTATAGACGAGAGTGAAAACTGCATTGGAGTTGTGACGTTTAGATCATTTTTTAGGTATGAACTTATTTATACTGGCATTTTCTTTGGGGCAAGTGCTAAACATATAGTAGAGAAAGAATGGAGATACATTTATCTATGTTAGCTTGAATTCCCTTTCAAATTAACCACTAGCTGTTGTGATCTGCTTTATTATGGTGACGGTATGGTAGTCTTTTGATAATTTCTTGTCATGGGACTTGAAAAGGATTGTTCACAGTTCCAACTAGAGTGCAGCTTTGAAGGGCAGGAAATGGGCCAAGGATAAAAATATGTACCTTGGGGGAAGCTTCTTATGAGTGGATAAACTCTGTTAGCCAGAGTGAAAAGTAAAGCGTAAAAAATGTTTGCGTGTAAAAATAAAACCTGAACTGAAAGCAAATTGCTTTTCTTCGTAATCATCCCCATCGTCGTAAAACATAGATTCCATAACAAATCTCGCTAATGAAACATGTGATATCAAGGCAGAGTGAAGTACAAGAGTTAAGCTTCCCAAATATCATGCTTGCTCGTGTTGTTTGAAGATCTTGTCTTCCTTGTGCATCCATTACCACATTTTTTATTTCCTGTTCCTTTGTTAGTTTCCTACTTTTAAGGCATTATAACTGTTTGGATCATAAAATAATGGTTGCAACCAGAGCCTTTTGTACTTTGTACATGTGGAATTTGTCACAAAATGTCTGACTTTGGTAATATTTTTATGTGGTCAAGTGTACAATGTTGCTAATATAGAATGGTCTCTGGCTATTTTAAGAATCAATATTAGATGAAGTTGCCCTCTTGTGCACTGTCCTAAGATCCACAGTTGGAGGTTAAAGCATTGGCTTTTTGAGTTTTCAATAGCATCCATATGCATTGAAATTTAAAAAATAAAAGTACGCTAGAAAGTGAAGTTCAAACCAAAAGAAAAGGATCATTTCTAAGCCATCAGACTAATCACTTGTGGAAGACCAAGCATAGTGGATATGTGAACAAAGCAAGGATACGTTTTGGTCTTATTTTGGTTGGCCTCATGTTCCTAGCAATAATGAACATGCTCCAGTTGGGTCTCCATGTTGTTTAGTGTTTGACTTGAGGTACTTGAAGTGTTCCACTAAAACAGATTTTGATATTGAAATGTCAATTGACATTTCTTTAGCCAGTTTGTTAATGTTGATTCTCTTCAAAATAGTAGTATAGTTTTTTTGGATCTACAACGTGTAACCCGTAGAGTGAATTCATTGTTTCATTTCATCTGGATTTAGTGGCTGAGAGTGGATTGGAGCCTTACGCAAAGAATTTCATAAGAAACTCTAAACTCTATCTACAAAGCAAACTTCCATTTTTTGTGGTTCGAGCGAATTTGATTTTCTTTTAGTGCACAATTTGAACTTGGCATGCTCACTTGTTTCCATAGACGAGCCTGTCTTTCTTTCTGTCCTCGTTTTGCTTGAACTAGAGTTTAGGAAGATCGATGATTCTTGTTGAATAGAGCTTTCCAAATATTTGTGATGGAACCTGTATTGGCAATGCAGTTTATTGTCATTACTTTCCTTCTAGTAGTTAGGAACATTTAACAATTGATTATGTCAAGCAAATTAAGTTAACATCACAATGGATAGTTGGATACCACTACCTTATGAAATGTACATGTTATAGTCAGGTTGATGCATTTTACACAGTTTGCTCACTAGGATTGGGGGTTTTGACTTGTGAGAGTTTTGAAATTTCAGACTTTATTAGAGTGGTATAATGATTTATCATCTGGTTTCAATTTTATTAATTTGGTACCTCATGTCCTATCAGTGTTGCTTTGTTTCAATTAAAAAACAAGGGTTTAAATTGATTGACTGAGATGGTCATGTGCATCTCACGCGATCACACGTGAGGGGTTTTTTTTCGAAAATGTATGGGTGTAAAGCGATATAAATTGTCAATGTGAAGAATCAAAATGATGCACATTGTAAATATGAGGGATCAAAGTGATCACTTAAGTGCAATCATGTGAAACATAGGTGAACACCTTCGTTAGTCAATTTAAACCATTGTTTTCTATCGGACCAAAGTGATACAAAGTGCATACGTTAAAGACTATTATTATTGCGGTTTACCCTCTATTGTTTGAATGTGGCATTACCTGGTTATTGATTCCTGAGGCATTTTTAGTAGTTAACGCCTAACATTTGTTTTCCATAAGTTTTTGTTTCTACATTTTAATCTTAAACTTTCATATAAACACTGGCAGTGTCAGTGTTATTATTGTATTTGTTCTCCTTTTGCGAGCCTCCTTTTGAACACTAATTACCATGGAGCAAATTAGGGGTGTTCACCTTACCCTACGGGTAGGAAATATGTTCTTCCATCTTCCGACCCGATATTTTACGGAAGAGTTTTTTCTTGACCTACCATACCCGACAGATGTGATATTCCTACCCTATTAATCGGGTAGAAAGTCGGATAAACATTTTTGTAACAATTAATTTTTGGATCATTTTAACAATTTAATTAAATAACAAGTACCAATTTAACAACACAATAAATTAATTAACACTAAAATCTAAAACAACTACAACAAGAATTATAATAAAACACAAGAAAGTATGAACATCAATCTACCATAATTGTTACACAAATACAATAATAATTAATTTAAGTTTAAATTTTAAACTATATGAAATACATTAAAATCATAATTGTTCCGCCTGTGGTTACGGTTTTTTTAGTTTATATATATATATATATATTTAAAAAATTATTGCGAATAAGGTATAGTAGGTATGATGAAATGGATGATTATTCTGCATTCTTATCCGAAAATTGTCGGAAGACTAAAAATTCTTTCGCATTCCTACTTGATTTTTGCGGCTAGCCGTTCAGTAAGGTAGGATAGAGTCGGGTAGGGTAGGAACTTGCAGCCGGTCAAAAATTTGAACATCCCTAGAACAAATATATTCAATAGTGTTGTTATGACGATAATTGATAAATTTTTTTATTGGTATTATATCACTTTAAAATACTGTCATGTCAGCGGATTAGGTCAATTTTTTAATGTTTCAGTAGCATTACTCATAACCATGCCCACTCGTTTTACGTGACATTGTTGGAAAGAAACTGGTATTTTATATAATCTAATTAATAGTTACTATTTTTGTTTTAATTGACTGTGTACTAATTGATTGTTTAAAATAGTGAAATAGTATACAATAAAAAATACTTTTTATTACAAAAGGGGAAAATATGATTTAAAAAAATTCTTCGCTATCAATAGTTAGACACTAAATCTTACGTGACCTCATACCTCACTGTTACCTGGCGGGCCTGCGCAGTGTGGTTACGTATTTCAAACCTGGGAAGGACATGGTGCAAACTGGGTCTTAATCTCCTCTATCCTATATTAGGAGTAAATATTTTATGTAAATATTATATTAGCTGAGTATTATTATACGGTGTAACTATCTAATGATAAGTACGACAAATTTGACCACACTTTTATTAAGTATTTTTTAGGGTTGAATGAAGAAGGAAATAAAGCCTCATAGAGGTAGATCACATTGAACTCATCTTCGCATACTAAATAATTTCTTATATTTACAATCATTTGATAATCTCATTTGTAGGTTAAGTCGGGATTGTGATGAACAAGAACCGAACTCATACAACTTAACTCATACAACTTTCCATCTTTTTGGCTATTTATACTATATTTTTTGGTATAGCTTACTAATTTTTTTTAGGTGTAACTTATTATTTTAGGTCAGCTTCTCAATTTTCGTTATGAATCCGACAAATAAAAATTTGGTACCAGAATATTCCCCCCAATAAGAGCATTGGGAATTGTGAATTCAGGGGCAGTGGTGGGTGCCTTTCTCTCTCTCTCATGTCAAAGGCACGAACCCAAGACTCTAGCTGGCTGTGAAACGACATAAAAAAATCTAAGAATGTATTTTTTGCTGTAAAAATGTAGTATTGATGTGTTATCACATCCATTGAAGCAACGATGTGGTGTGTTGTCTTTTAGTCTTTTACTCTGGCCCAGGAAGGGGCTTTGCAGTGGGGTTCAATCAACCCACTGTGACAGAACGTACTGTGAATTTTTTACCATAATTTTCAAATTTTATATCCTTTGTACCATGATTACTTTTGAAAGAATATTTTACAAACATGTTATTACATTAAAAAAACATAGATCAAGGTTACGATAAATAATGATAGATGAAAAAATAAGATAAAACCTGAGGTACACAGTAACTAAAATTCGAAATCATGATAACATTGGAATTGATTAAGCAAAAGATCATCATACGTACCTTCCATTGGGTTTTCAAGGCCTGTTTTTACTTTCTAGAAGGATGCTATTCCAAGTTTGCAGCCTACACATGGCGCTAATTAACCTTAATGTAGTTGGTAACTTCTGATATTCTTGTCTACGAGAGTAACTGATTCCTAATAAATAAGAGTAATATTATTTGAACCTAATTTATCGATCTAATTAGGTTGGTAATGGGTGATCTTTTATGTCTCTTTTTTGGGTTTTACTCTACTCATCCTTCTCTCTCTTTGAAATGTGATTCTCTTTTTTGTTTTAATTTACTAGTGATATATTGTATTTATTATTGGAATCGATTGGTGCTTAGAAAGAAACCTTACAAAAAAATGTTATTCCCACAATGATCTTAAAATTTGAACTATGTGGCTATTGGGTGATCCATATTATTTTGTTATTGTTATTGGCTTGTATTTTTTATACCAAACTAAAAATAGGAAGAAAAAAAACCCATGTTCCAATTTTTTTTACATTACACAGTTGTAGAATTACTAATATGTGATCAATTTCCGAGTTCATGTAAGTATATACTTTTTTTATGAGTTTGTCAAATGGAAGCTCTATAGGCACAAGCTATAGTGCTTTTTTTTGGGGGGGGGGGTATGTTGGTTTTTTGTGGAGTTTAGTTTGTATATGTGATTCGGATGATGACTCGACCCGAAGTAATGTTGTGTGATTTTTTAATAAAAAATTTTCTGAGACTTAATCCATGGAGCAAAAGCTTGGGCCGATAGGCCCAAGCCGTAGCACTCATGGACAAGCCTCGTGAGGGTTCGGGGGGCAACTCCCCGAGGAAAATTTTTGGGCCCATTATATAGCCTAGTGCGTATGACATATAAAACTCGTTGTTTTGGTAATTAGGGTTAATATGGTGGATTGTATAGCCGCTCTCTGTATTAAACTCTCTCAATAGTGAAATTCTTGCAGTTTCGTGGACGTAGTCAAATTGCCGAACCACGTAAAATCTGTGTCTTATTCTTTCTTGTTTCTTACTGCTTTATATTCTTGATTTGTTCTTCGATTGTGTGTGTTTGTTAGTGAATTTAAACTGTTGTTAAATCCCAACAGGGTATGGGTATGGGAATGGGAGGATAGTCAATGTGAATGGGAAAGTAGAATGACTTGGGGGAATAGAAAATAGGCGACAATCTAGCAGGATAGAAATAAGGATGAGTTGTGTTAAATGAGAAGAGAAATGCATTAAAATGATAAAAATAAGAAAGAGAGAATAGGGAGATCAATGGAGGAGAGGGATGGCAAGGAGGGGGGGCAAAATGGGCCGTATAAGGGGTCATCAACGATGATTGTAGGGGATGGAGAGGGTTGTAAGGTTAGATTAGAAACCTCTGATAAAATGTTCGCCCGTAACCCAATAGTTCATTTTAGGGATTGACGACTTACCCATTTAGTGACCTTAGAATTGGACATTCCGAAAATGGGTACTATCGAATTAGGTGAATTTAATAATAGACGCCTATTGACAATTCAACCTTTCAGGGCCTATCCAAAAAAAAATCTAGTACTTCTTGGTCGTGAATATCTGAACTGGTTGTTTATTATTCAAGAATTTTTGTTGTCGGCTAGAGGGGTGGTCATTAACCACAACCTCAACCATAGGGGGGGCTAGGAGGGGAAAGAGTAGGGTCACTAACTCAAGGGTAAGGGCCGGGGAAGGGGGAGGGGTTGTCAATAGGAAGGAGCAAGGAGGAATCCCTCTTCACTCTCCTCTTTCTTTGGCGTGTATATTTCTCTTTTATCTAACATCTTTAAATATGATCCATCCTACTGGATTTAAATCCACGTCAAATACTTTTTTTTCTTCATTTATTTTCTGATAGATAATTCACCATATATTAATGAAGGATCAATATAATATTGTGTGTCTCACTTGAATTTATGATAGATAATTTACCTAAAAAAATATAATAAAAATATATTAAAGGGGATTTCACTCTCATCCAACTACCACATTCAATTCTCTCTCTTTCTTCATTCTCTATGCTAATGTCACTTTTGATTTAACCATCTAATGAACTCTCTTTTCCTCGAATGCAAGAAAGTTCTCCATCTGTCCATGGGTATGAATCACTTTGGTCAAGTTAAGATGTCAATACGATCTGGGTTTGAAAAAATTGTGGTTTGGGACTAGCATTCTTAAACAACACTTACGTAACTAGTATAGGAGCTCTACGGGTCTTTGCACTTGTAGTTACATCTCCTCAACTTGCAAGTAATTTTTGTGAGTCTCTTTACTAATCGCCATTCGGTTTTGAATTGAATTTCTTAATATTTTTGTGCTTAGTTAATCATATGTTGTCATTGTCGTCATACTAATACTATGCAGTAGAGTGGCTATTTATCATTGTGATTTTTCATAATGCAAGTAAGAATATGGTTACTTTGGCCATGATACGAGGAAAATGATCTAGTAGGATGTTGCGTTTATCAATTAATTAGTGGAATCCCCCTATATTCTTATGTAACGTTTAGGGGTTGCTTGTTGCATGACTAAATCAGGCAGCTACATTTTTTGGACTGCTCGTAAGCTTAGGCAATTGCTTATACATTCATGGATGAGGACATGTTGTTTTGTCTTATATGTGGTATTATATTTTACAATTCCAAGATTTACTCTATACATATTTAGGCACTTCTTGTGAAACAAAGTTCACTTGGGAAAAGTAAAAATGTACCACTCAAGTGTACAAGACTCCTGGCTGTAGTGTTGTTTAAGAGACCCTCATCAATAATTCCTAGACTTAAACCAATGATGTATCACTTGGACGAGGGAGTACTTACCATCACTCCGACTATAAACTAGAATCTAGTGCATTGGATATCACTTTCACTTGGAAAAAGTCATTTCATAGGCTTTTTAGCTAGCCATGTTGAATGCTTGCTTATGTACAAATGACCTTCAACATCTTGTACATCTTTTTGGGTGAATATGGCATGTTTGGGAATGTGCTTAGTAAATTCTATTCAGAAATAAACTTGATTTAAGAGTTTTATTGTATTAATTTGGTGTGTGTTAATGCTATACAAGAATGTGTGTGTTAGTGGGGTATCAATATTTAAGTAATAGGTTACAAAAGTAATAGTTGTATGCACTAAAGTCTTAATATTTTAGTAGTTACAAGAATTAGTAGAGGTAGTGACATATTAATGCAAAGTTATGAGCATGTGTGATATCTATATGGACAAGACATATATATAGAGTTAAGATTCAAGTAGTGGAGAAGAATGTGTAATTCCAAGAGGTAGTTCAAGTGGTAGTATGAACAAAGTTGTAAATGCAGACGTCTCTGGCAACTCTTTGGGGTTATACCATGAAAGATTTATACNTTCAAGAGGTAGTTCAAGTGGTAGTAGGAACAAAGTTGTAAATCCAGACGTCTCTGACAACTCTTTGGGGTTATACCATGAAAGATTTATACCTTATGAATGCTCTAGTCCCGGCCTGGATGGTTTGTCTTTGTCTAGACCGGGAAGAAAATTAGTTAAGGTTTGCGTAAATTTGTCCGAATATCTTTACCAATTAAACCAAAAAAGAGAAGAATATGAGAAGAGTCAAAGTTGAGTGAGTTGTAATCAACTTGAATGAATTTTTTTCCCTCATCAACTTCCTTTCATTTTCTTTTCAGTCCTCTCGACTCCAAAAAAATAGTATCTAAGCATTTTTTAACTAATATAATATTGAAGTAATTCCAACAAATTCGGCAACTTGTGTGACTTATTACCCATGATGGTGCATGCATGACTTTATTGGTGTTTGGCAGCATCTCTTCGTTTATTTCTGCTATGTTAAGCTGATTTTTGCCATCCTACTTGACATTGTGTATCAGATGATGCTGCTGGGTCACCTGAGGAAGATCTTAGTCCGGTTGAGTTAGAGGTGCAAGAATGCAGTAGGACCAGCGAAGATCGTGAAATTAAGGATAAACTCATGCGTAAATATAGTGGTTACATTAGCTCCCTGAAGCATGAATTTTCGAAAAAGAAGAAGAAAGGAAAGCTGCCCAGAGAAGCAAGGCAAATGCTGCTTGATTGGTGGACCATTCACTACAAATGGCCATACCCAACTGTAAGTATATTCCAAAGCATTCTCGGTTAATTTTGAAAACTTCCTTCTCATCTTATTTAAGAATCAACATGTAACACCCTGCTCCTACTATCAAGATATTGTCCACCTTGTCTATAGAATTACGTTTTTGAAACATGCCTAGATGGTTAAGCTAATGTCATCAAGTAAATATAGTACATTAACTGTTCTCTCTCATGGCAATGTGGGAGTAAGTACGCGAACTGGACATCGTTGTTCGTATGTGTATATTGTGCCTTGCTTTAGGAGTGTCAGTATGTTGGTCTCGTGGCAACCACATTGTCATGATTACATGACAGTGATGACGTGGTGTTATTATATTCAATATTTTTTTCAACTTTTACATACAATGCATGCTTTTTAGGGTATGACATACATAAACGTGTTCTAAAACATACTGTATACTGTATTTTATATCCGTGGCGCAGGAGGCAGACAAGGTTGAGCTGGCCGAATCAACGGGTTTGGATCAAAAACAAATAAACAACTGGTTCATAAATCAGCGGAAGCGCCATTGGAAACCGTCGGAGAACATGCAATTCACTGTTATGGACAGTATTTATGGACCATTTTTCTGAATGATTGTAGTTTCTCTCATGTTTTTTCTCCCATGTTTAACTAATTAGCCTTTTGTTCTATAGTGAAATCTCTTCCTGTCTCACTTCTTGTTTGTGTTTACCCACTGCAAGGAATAGATCACAACAAACAATAGGTGTTATAGGAGATTATCTGATAATTGGAATGTACAATATGATCTATACTGCTTACCCCTCAACGAGGATGAACGTTAACATTGTTTGAAGTTGGTTAAATGTTTTTCTTTTCCTTTTTTGGTTTAATGGTTATAGAGTGTTTGGGCTAATTTATGCATATTTTGATTAATTGTCTTTTCAATTTGGTCAAATGTATGTCATCCATGTCGGGACTAGGTATTCATAAGAGATGATAAATCTCTCTTAACTTAACTTTAAGAATTTTTAAGATTTTAAGTCAGTTAGATGTCTGTTCTTATTTTTTCATGGTGTCATACATCTCTGATTAATTTTGAATTAAATGATGTATAATCATTGATTAAAAAACAATATGGTAATAAAAAATAATAAAATATAAACATTTTTCATGTGTCACGTTTTATTGGAAGAAATAGAGGTATGATAACAAAAAGTGGTATTTCAGTAGGAAAATAGTATACTTTTTAGGGTGAAAATTTACATTTTGAAAGATTTAAGAATATTTACTTTATACCATAAAATATTATATTTTTAAAGTTATATATGTATTAAAAATATTATAATATGATCTTTCTATTAATTTTTGTTACTCATTTTATCAATGTCAATAATGTGATTTTTCACAAAATAAACAATGAAGATAATAAAAAGGTCATATTGTAACACTGTTTAATAGTATTCCTTATCTTATGAAAATTTTGTTTTCTTAAAGTCAAGGGTTCAAATCCTCTAAGCGACAAAAAATGTGGTTAGTTGATAAAATAGATTTCAGTTGCATAGACGAGCCGTATACAAGTCTTTGGTATGGGTTTAATTTCTCACCGAAACGCAAGTCTTGATTTAATTGATGAATGGGTTGAGGGACGGATTCATACATCCAAAGTTTACTTATGGTTCTACACAGACTCATGAGCTTGAGCGACATAATTATACCTTTATCTGTTGGGGACAAATCAAAAATTTCTTTTGTAACAAAAAAAATAAAAATAAAGATGTAACATAAAAAATCTTAAAATCTTTTGAGACGTAAAATGTATTTCCCTTCCTAACTCTACAGATAAATCTTGTATATAGAAGGTTGGAGTTATAGTGCTTGTGACAGTGTGAGATAATGTAAGAGCAACCTCTCATTATCACCCGGAATCTACACTCTTTTGAAGAGATTCAAGTACCTTTAATTTTTTTTTGGTTAAATTTGGTTTTTGTAAAGGAGATGAGATGGAGGTTTTAGACTGGTCATTGATGAAAGATGTTAAAGATTTGAATATCCCGTGATAGAAGATTTAAGCGTTTCTTTTTATTAATTTCACCTTTTAAAGAGTCATTAATGATAGATGATTTATTGCATATTTGTCACCCGAGAAAATATTCAGTACTTGTCAGGTACCAGACTGTCATTGATAACTGGTACTCATCACCAATCAATAGCTGTCACCTCAAGGTAGGCAATGGAGAGAAAAATTGAAGGAGAGCCAACATTGAGGTGACAGCTCTTGATTGATGATGAGTATCGATTATCAATAACAACCTGGTACCAATCAATGACAGAATATGAGGTGACAGCTGTTGATTGGTGATGAGTACTAGTTGTCACAAGTACCGAATATTTTCTCCTGTCACCCTATAAATAGTCCTGCTTTGTTTGTATGAAACACACGTACAATGTAAACCATGATATCAATAAAGTGGAAGCTTTTTTGGGCATTGTAGATGCAAGAATAGAGCAAACTACAAAAATTATTGTGTTTTTATTATGTTTTCACTTCAAATCTCCGATCTCTTTCCCATCCAAAATTTAACGTAAGGGCTCTCCCTTCTTAACCCATATCAAAGAAAAGAAATCAATACCGTATTGAAATTTATAATTTGTTAGGTCAAGTTATATTTTTTTGATGTAAAAGTTACAATCGAAAAAGTGATGAAGGCTGTAAGGTAAAATTACTAATTTTTGAGGTTAAGTTACAATTAATCAAGGGTATTCATAATTGATGATTAATCATAATATTTATCAATAGACTTTTGGTCCAATAGTACTCATTATCTTGTAAAGACTTTGTTTTGTTGAACTCCTCCTCCTCCCCCCTCCAAAAAAAAGTATTTAAAAAAAAAAATTAATCATAATATTTCATGATTGATTATTAAATTACCTCAAAACAGTTGTAACTTTACCCTAAAGAAATATTACTTGACCTAAAAAACTAGTAACTTTCGGTGTGTTACCGAATATTTTTTTTTTAAGTTCCTCAGAATTTCCCCAAATAAAATATGCCGGGTTCAGCTGCAGCATAAATCATATTTTGTTGTTGTGTTTGGCCCAATTTACAAGGACCAAAAATAGCAATAGTTATTTGGGATGGGCCTGATTTGTAAACGTTTCAGCTGATTTAATGATGGGCTTTAGCTACATTTTCGGCCCTATGTGCTAAACCTTTGTAAATTATGGATAGGCCGAAATGTAAAAGGTAGGCCCAAAAACTGGGTCCATTACTGTAATCCTCTGTCTATTTTCCCTTATTCTTTTGGGCCCTCACCCACTTCTCCGCGGCCTAGTTGATGCGTAATCCACAGTCATAGAAAATTGTCTCTCTTCTCCTGGTTATAAATATGATTTTTTTTTTCTTTTTGCTGTTAGTTAAAAGATTGCTTTAATTAAAAAAAAAAAACAGGGATCAACCGCGCTTTTACCCCAAAATATTCAATTCTCACTTTGATGCTTGAACTTTTTTTTTATCAATTCAAAAAAATGATACGTATGATTTTCTTATGATGACACACGACATTTTATGACTTATATCAATTTTGAAAAAATGACTCGTGTTTTTAATTGAGTTTTTAATAAAAAAACATTGATTGGATCGAGTCAAGTTATTTTAAAAGTTGGATATCAAAGAAATTCACCCAAAACATAATGAGAATTGAAGTAATTTTGAGATTAAAAGTGTAACCCAAAAATACATAACTTAAGTCTTGCTTTGTATACTCTTCATGTTATTTCATTGTGACTCATACACCATGTATTTGATACATGAAAACAACAAGAGAACGAGATGAAACTTGAATACATCTAAACCTCTGTAAATTTTGCAATAGCAAGAGGCTCGTGTAATGCCTTTGTATGCATCACAATGCCGAGTCTTGGTTTGTGTTTACTTTGCAAAACGAAGAGTACACAAACAAATCAAGAATCTATAATAATAAAACAGAGCCTCTTGCTTGAGTTACTTAAGCTCTTAAGTTAGAAAAGCACTATAATAGTTTAGATCCAACAATTTAATAATTTAAATTTTTTATCTTTTTAACCACTGAAATTTATTTAAATTTTAATTTTTAACCATTTAACCACACTAAATTTCAATTTTTTAACCATAGTCATTTGATCCATACATTAAAAAAAAAACGTGCTTTGCACGGGACACAACTAGTTATACAAAATGGAAAAGCCAAAAACTCATTTTGAGCAGGAAAATGCAAAAATCTGTTTGTCTTGTGAAGGTACCAGTGCCATGGTGTTCATGTTCCAGTCATCACAATTCCTTACCTCATCTTCAAAATCCCATTTCTCCTCTCCTCTATTATTCCCAAGATCTTCATTGTCCGAGCTTGAAATTGAGATCTTCCTCCAAGTACACCAGATTCTCAGCATGATATAAATCAAAACCAAGCATATCATTGTAGATGTAAACACAATGGCCACTATAATCCATGCAACTGCAGTATTTGATAGCCACTTTCTCTCCTGCCCCTTCGATTCCGAACATGGTATCAAAGGTGGGCCACATAGCTTTTCGTTTCCCAAGAAAGAGCTTAGTGGGAATCCTGAAAAAGTTGGAGGAAGTTGGCCATGGAGATGATTGTTTGACAGGTTTAGCCTGTGGAGACTGGAAAGTTTTCCAAGTGACTGTGGAATTTCCCCTGTGAGTTGATTGAATGAGAGGTTCAATCTCTCCAACTTCACCACATTGCCAAGAGACCATGGAATTTCACCAGAAAGAAGATTTTCACTGAGGTCCAAGATCACTTGCAACTCAGAAAGTGTACCTAACCCGGGGGGTATCGAGCCATTCAGTAAGTTCTGGGAAAGCCTCAGCTCATAGAGCTTCTTACACTGCTGAAATGTTAAAGGAATTGACCCAGATAAGTTATTTCTTTGAAGGTTTAGAACATTCAAAGAATTTAGATTTCCAAGCTCTGGGGGGATGTCACCTGATAGGTAGTTACTATCCAGAGAGAGCTTAAGTAATCTTGAACAGTTCCCAAGTTCTGTTGGTACTGTTCCATTGAAAATATTGTACGAAAGATCAAGCTCACCGAGTTCTCGTAAGCTCCCTAGCCATGGAGGAACTGTGCCTGAAAATCGGTTATTTTTGAGAAGGAGGTGGCCGAGTTTTCTACAGTTTGAGAGCTCAGGTGCCAGCTCTCCTGTGAAATTGTTGAATGACAAATCAAGAAAGTTGAGTTCTGTTAATTTGCCTAATTCAGGAGGAATGGGACCATTGAGAAAATTGTAAGCAAGGCGGAGACGGGTCAGGTTTCTTGACATGGCTAGTTCAGAAGGAATGGGACCGGAGAAACTGTTGTTTGTCAAGTCTAATCTGGAGAGAGAATTTGAACCAGAGAGTGGAAAGACGCTTCCACTAAATCTGTTGTGAGAAAAATTAATGATGCTAAGGTTTTTCAGGAGGGAGATTGATTCAGGAAGAGGACCTTCAAATGAGTTGTTATAAAGAGTGATCAAGAACAGCTCTGAGAGGAACCTGAATGTTGGTGGCAATGTACCCGAGAGTCGGTTATCAGCCAAGACCAAATTTTGAAGCTTTGTGCAGTACCCCAAGCTTGGGGGTATTGAACCTGATAACTCATTCTGTCTCAATAGAAGAAAAACTAGATTCTTGAGCTTCCCAATTGTTGCAGGAATAGAACCTTTCAAATGGTTTCCAAAGAAATCAATCGCTGTTAAGCTCGAGCAATTTGTTAGCTCTCTAGGAATAGTCCCTGAGATCTGGTTGTCGTAGAGATACAGAACGCTTAGCCTCTGTAGCTTCCCAATTTCAACCGGGATACTTCCTGTGATCATGTTGCNATCGCTGTTAAGCTCGAGCAATTTGTTAGCTCTCTAGGAATAGTCCCTGAGATCTGGTTGTCGTAGAGATACAGAAAGCTTAGCCTCTGTAGCTTCCCAATTTCAACCGGGATACTTCCTGTGATCATGTTGCCAAACAGATAAAAAGTCATCAAGTTACTCATGTTTCCGATCTCAAGAGGTATAGTTCCGGAAAAGCTGTTGTTGTTGAGCAGGAGATCTGTGAGGTTCTCTAGCTTGTCAAGGCCTGATGGTAGTACTCCTACAAAGTTGTTATCAGAGAGGTCTAATTCTTGGAGCCACGAGCAATTCAGTAACCCCAATGGGAAGTTGCCAGAGAGATTGTTTCGAGCCAAAAAAAGTTGGTGCAGACTTGAATTGGGAATGCAGAGGTCCCTGGGAGTGCTTCCTGTTAAAGAATTATCAGATAGAACTAGAACCTCGATATTCTTCAGATGAGTATTGACGATGTTTATTGTTCCCGAGAGGCTATTTTTTGATAAGTCAAGCCTCTCAAGCTGAACCAATTGATTAAGCTCTGAAGGGATTTCACCATTCAACCTATTCCCAGCCAAGTTCAAGTACTTCAAGTTGGAGAGGAAACCCAACTCGATAGGAATCGAGCCAGAAAGGCTGTTGTTGGCTAAGTTCAGGATTTGAAGTGATTCAAGCTTTCCTATTGAAGCAGGAATTCGACCTTCCAGCCTGTTGTTTGATGCTGCGAAGTTCTGAAGCTCTATGCATCCACTGATTTCTTGTGGTATAAGGCCACTGAGACTGTTCTTCTGCAAGTCAAGAGATTGTAGATGCTTCAAGTTACCAATCTCAGCTGGAATACTTCCATTTAGTTGGCAATAAGCTAGACCCAATACTCTCAATTCAGTCAAGTTTCCAACATTCGCGTTAACTTGGCCAGTTAACATGTTATCTCCTATTCTAAGGACTTGCAAATTCTTCAGAAGACCAATCTCTGCAGGAACGTTGCTAGAGAGAGAATTTGAATAGAGGAGGAGTTCTCTCAGATTCTGAAGCTGTCCAAGCTCAGGAGGTATCAAGCCAGAGAGGAAATTCGAAGATAAATCGAATGTCTGAAGTGAAGTGAGGCGCGAGAACTCGGGGGAGATTGCACCTGATAGTCCTGATCCAGATAGATTCAGACCCATAACATGGGTTTGATCATCTGAACATGTCACTCCATACCAGGTACATAAACTAGTTCTTGGAGACCAGTTGTCTAGAACTCCAACTGGATCAACAAATTCTGATTTTGTTCTTAGGAGCCAGTAGGAATCAGTTGTATCATCTCCAAAATTAACAGAAAATGCAGCACAAAGTACTGAGAAGAACAGTAAAAAATGACAAATATAAATGCTGCTCATTTCAGAATCTATGTCCCCGGTTGGTTTCAAAGCAAAGTATCAGAAACACAAAGTGAAATACTTGTGGTATTGCTAGTAGCAGAAGCTCAAATTCTACACATTGAGGATGACCCCATATAAGAACAGATGACATAGGATATCAAGGCAGGAAATTTGGAGGGGAGGGAGAGAGAGAGAAAGAGAACACAGGTTCAGTAATGGAGGCTTAGAGCTTATATAGTTTTATCAGCAAAAAAATATATATATATATTTATATATATACACACATAGTTTTATCAAAGTAAGCCTGTAAAATCATCTCATCAAGAAAGTTAATAACAATTGTTAAAATGAAAGGTTTGAGCATGAAAAGTGGTTTTACTTTAACAAGGAATTATATTACGCGAGGGTTGCTCAATTGTGCTTAAAACGTTACGGTTCGAATCACCACAAAAGATGAGATTGAGTATATCTAACGCACTCTCTCTCTCTCTCTCTGCACAATCAAAAATGACGAAACCCTCGCGTAATAGGATTTGACTCCTCTCTAATTTTGACTTTTTCCTTTTTTTTTGGCAAAAAGGTAAGGTATTTTTTCATGTTTTCTTTCTTTCTGAAGACAATCATAGAACTGGGGGAGCATGTGTTAGTAGCTTTTTGGGATGTAAAGTATATGAAGATNTCTGCACAATCAAAAATGACGAAACCCTCGCGTAATAGGATTTGACTCCTCTCTAATTTTGACTTTTTGCTTTTTTTTTGGCAAAAAGGTAAGGTATTTTTTCATGTTTTCTTTCTTTCTGAAGACAATCATAGAACTGGGGGAGCATGTGTTAGTAGCTTTTTGGGATGTAAAGTATATGAAGATAAGATGGCTTGATGGCTACCCCGGAAACAAGGAGAAAGAAGCTATGTAGAGCGACCCACTTATGCCTCATATAAAAAAGAAGTGGACCTGTCTCTAGGGCTCTACTCGGTGTCATATTTAGTTGGACCCCCGCTATATTTCTGTTTTATTTCAACAAGAACTTTGAAGATCCATTGGAATCTATCAAAGCATTATATGGGATTTGACTTCTGAGATATTATGTCAAATAAACTTCAGCAATTGTCAATTAAACAGGTATAAACCCATTGTGTTATTGATGTTATAGGTGCACCACAGCAGCATCAAGGATGATAATTTGTCAATCCTCATAGCAATGGAATGCATTTCTTGAAGGAAAATGAACTATAACTGGGTTTTTTAGTTGTCACCGAGTGTGGGTGTGTATAGTATGACACGATACACAGGCTGACATGAAATCGACACGAAATTAACGAGTTGAGTTTAGCCTGAGCAGAGTTAGGTGATAAATAGACACACTACCAACTCGTCAAAGAAATAAGTCACACAAATGNCAAAATTAACGAGTTGGGTTTAGCCTGAGCAGGGTTAGGTGATAAATAGACACACTACCAACTCGTCAAAGAAATAAGTCACACAAATGCAGCAAAACACGACATGAACTCAGTTAGTCCGACATAACACGAAAGTGACTATAACAGATCGTATAAGAATTGAACAAATTTAGATATGACACAATTAAATGGTTTAAAAACATGATACAACAAAACCCACTGACAGGCTCAGTGCATAAGCATGACATGACTTTTGCAGGTACATATCCTCGTTTTTTTTTAACATATCCTCGTTGAAAGAACCATAAAACCCCAAGGTAATAAGTAACACTAATTTAACTTGTTCTGAATTGACATCCCAACAGGGCTGCGAGTTCACACATGAAATCTCCTCTATTATCAACCAAATCCAACCTAATACCAAATTGAATACAATAAGAAAACAGAAGACCTAAACTACTACATTTCTTGCATTTCATTGTAGAGACCAGCTTCATTTATCTTGCTGAAACTCCGGATAGAACCAAAGACCATGTGAGGTTTGGTGTTATCTAACCAAAGCTGTTTCAATTGCTAACTGGGCCTATTAAAGTGTGTGTGTGTGTGTGTGTGTGAGAGAGAGAGAGAACTAAACTACCACATTTCTTGCATTTCACTGTAGAGACCAGCTTCATTTATCTTGCTGAAACTCCGGATAGAACCAAGACCATGTGAGGTTTGGTGTTATCTAACCAAAGTTGTTGCAATTGCTAACTGGGCCTGTTAAAGTTTGTGTGTGGGTGTGTGTGTGTGTGAGAGAGAGAGAGAGAGAATGTATCGTGGCTCATTGCATATAGGAGGCGTCCTGCTAAACAAATGATGACAAAGTTCACTAGTGAAAATCAACTGATAGAGAAAATGAATCTGCTTAGCTTTCACTGGTAGGCTTTTGTATCTCTCATCTTTGCTTAGTTTTTCAGGATTTATGCAGAGGCAATCAATCTGGATGAAAATACAACAAAGTTAGTCACTTGAAAATCCCCAGACAAAGAAGCAAGATGTACCTTGCTGGACCACTATTACCCTACTACTTGATCACTTTTTCCTCCTCCTCCTCTCTCTCTCTCTCTCTCCACATGCAATATGTGACAAATACCCCCATAAAAGAGAATATTCATGATGAAAAATTCAAGGCATGTCCATCTTCTCTTGTATACACTTGTTGGTAGGCATGATAATTCTGAACACGACTCAAGAACCAGTCAAAACTAACAACTTTGGATTTAGCCCTAGTAAGTTAGGGTGGTACATGAGTGGGCCCGATAAACTCATTGAATGAATTAATTGATACAAATCCAAGTCAACACAATACGAACCCATCGAACACAACTTATATACGTCACGAATCCGACACGATACTAACTTTGGCATACATGATTATAAATGGATCAAATTTTGGTTAAACTAATTTTGATATGGCACAACTTAAATATGACACAAATCCGAGATAGCTAGATATGACTCATTGCCAACCCTACTCATTGGAACCACCTATCCATCTGTTTCTGCACTCTATGAAAGTCACACTGTAGGCAGTAATATTTCATTTTCTAAACAAAACTGATTTTCATCCAACCTGCTTAAGACATATGGGTCATTCTCTGGGGAATTATCTGTCTTCTACCTAATCTAAGCATTTTGTCTAATCTTCCACTTGAAGTACAACAAACTGAAAGTCCAACCAAGATAACACCAACTCTGGAATTTAAAATGGAATGAGAAGAAAATACAGTCAAAGCAACCAACGAAATTAATTATATGATATAAATCCAAAGGAGAAGGTACATTATTGGGGAATTTAAAATGATTACCATATTGTATAATATTTGTAACGATGGAATGACAAACGATCTTTATAGGAAAAGAACAACCAAAATAATTCCTTCTTTTAGTAGAATAATTTCTATACAATTTCAAGTTTTCCATAAAACAATAAAAAATAAAGGTGATACATAAAAAGGGAAGTAGCTACTAGCCACTAAAAAATCTGAAAAGGCCACATATATGCAGGCTAACCCCGCATATGGATATGCAATTCCTCTGACTCAAACCCTAGTTTTGGATTATGGTTACCACAATTCACTAAACCCTTAATGACCCACGATCTGGGTACATCGATCTCAAATGAAGTGGGTTCACAATCCAAATCACCAAAATGGACGACTTCAAATTGTAATACTAACCCTAAATCAATTCGCTTTAAAACATGTTGCACAAATATAAAATACATATTAATTGATTATATGTATATAGATTTATAGTTATATATTATTTTAGATAATAGAAAATAAAGAACAATTATAAGATAAATAGTAACTTAGTGTTTATGAATATTCTATAATATATAACGTTGTATGTAGTGAAAACAATCTACATAAGAATTTCAGAACAAATTGCGACCCAAAATACCGTACCAGCTAAATATACCCCCATCGTACCGCGTACCTAAGAAAGTGTGTACCATGTACCAAAGCGACCCACAATCCTGGTAACATTGTTTTGAATGCACAATCTAAGAAAACAGTCTAAGACAACCTAATTAGAAGCTTTCTTCCCTTGCAGCACTAATCCCTCATTTTTACACCTGAATTCTCTGAATTTAGACTGAAAATCAACTGGTGGATTTTGGCACAAAACAGAAACAATAAATGAGAATCGAGCGACCAAGATTCAGCTGCATCAACTGCACTCTGCCTCAGAGTTTTATGTGCCCCCATAGCAATGCATTGGAGTCTAGGCGGCGTGATTCTCGTAAAATAGTTGTTTTGAACAAAAAAAATCATCCTCTGAATAACAATCCAAATGTTGAGGATCCCAAATTCCCAATTCATTTGTATTAAGCTTGAAGCTTAACCTTCATATTTTTTTCTAGCAATTGTCCACAAGTTTCCCGGCCAGACCTACACCATCTGAATGACAAGAGTTACAACTGAGCAATCATACTAGCTAACTCACAGGAAGACTCGTGAGACCTCGGCGTCTCATGGTGTCAATACAAACTAAAGGTGTTACTGGGTAATAGCTATTCATGCTTACCTTGAAAATTTACCAACATATCACTCAAAGTAATGGAACATGAGTTTTGGTTCATCAGTAAGAACACCTCAAACTGCTAATCTTCGCAGACCTAATTTTGTCAAAGGGATAGCAGACATAAAACATCTTTTTTTCCCCATGACGAGGGTTGTTAAATGGAGTAACACGGGTTTGGTTTGGGCTCGACTCATGTTGGACTTGTTCAAGCCCATTCATATTTGAAAACAAGCCGAATTTAATACAAAAATTTAGGCTGGTTTTTGTCCCAGCCGTGCCCGAGCTCAAATAAACAACTGGAATCAAGCTCATGATTCTTGTGTTTGTCAACAGATGGGCAAACTTAATAAATAGATAAACAAGCCACATTTGAGTACACGTTTATTTGAGTGCTATTGGATTGATTAATAACTGCAAAATCACACCCCTGTAAAACCTCCTACTGTATTGGGTTGTGTTTACTATCAGAGAGTCTTCCCTCAATGCGTGATCAGGAGACTATGAAAAGGAACATAGCACATATAAAGCAGACTGGCAAGAGGATTCCTTTCACAAACTCAAAATAGGAATAATGTTTGTTGAGTAGATCAGATCAGAGCTTAGAACATGACATAGTGGACAAGCAACTTACTAGCAAGTCCAAGAGAGAAAATGGTATAAAGAGGCCTGTGTTGCAAGAATTTTTACTATAATATGTGCTATTCAATATTTGTGGTAAGATACTCATTAAATATTTAGAGCTGACAACAAAAATATCTGACCTTATTAAACAAGACGACCATTTAGAGCTGCCTGTCAACCATGTTAACCTTCGTCACTCCATACAGAGTTAGCATCCAAGCAAGACCTGAAGATGACGTTTTTCAAGCAGAGAAAAGAAGGGGTTAACAATGATAACTAAGACAAGAAAATTGTTGTCAGCATATCATAGACAAGAAAACTGAGCAATATAAGTAGCAAGAATGCTGAATTTTCAGCAGATTCTATGGGTATTCAATCTACACTGCTTTCAAAACACATTTCTCCTGATAACAATAAAAAAAGTAAACACTATACAAGAAAATTTCATCTTGATTAACTGAATGATGTCGACCACTGCTATCACAAAATCAGCAGTTAGGCCCCTTAAACACAAATGCAAAGAACAAGCAGTGCAGCAACCTTCTCCAATACCGGCTGTTATTTCGTTTCCATCTTCATTGATAGAGCGCCATGAACTTTTGATATCCTCAAAAACTGACGAATGATTAAGTTAAATATTACCCCTCAGAGCAAAACAAAGCCAACCACAAAATAACCTCCAGAGCACAATTCAGCCAACAATTAATAACCGCACCAACCAAATTTATATGATTTTGTGTAGTGTTCCTTTCCACGGAATGAGATAATAACTAGACCAATGTGGATCCAAAAATTTGCATCTTATTATTCAGTCGTAGGGACAGAAGAGATAAATCTCATGATGAAGCTTGACAGCGACCAGATGCAAATCACCCCAAGGAATTGAAGTACATTCAAAAGAGTACCCAACGAGCTATTTATTGCCAGGTTGTGTGATGTCATCTCAGCTCCTCTCACAGTGAATGACAGAGCTGTCACCAGTTGTGCTGCCCTATTCAATTGGTGCAATCTATAAACCTGTAGAAACACCCCAAAAAATTAAATGAAAAAAGGCTTCTTTAATTCACAAACAACCTTCAACGTTCTCGCCTCTTGGAGTGGAATTTGTTATCAAAATTAGTTTTAGAAACATAACTAAAGTATGGAGAGATTTATCAAAACAAATCATAAAAGACAGCCAGAGGTCAGAACTCAAAGATAAACAACAAAATTAAGAGAAAATCTATCGAGTCATTCACTCTGTTACAACTACAAGCAACTTGGACCTTTTAGCCATAGTGAAAAAAGATGTATTTATCTGGCCCAAATATGTAGAGTAAACTACGTTTAGAATGTCCAATATAAGATGCATTTACCAGGCCCAAATATATTGAGTGAACTAGGCATATAATCATTTACTCATTATTGAGAAACACTCATTGTGGTATGAATAAAGGAAAACAAGACCACAAAAGCAACATTGACTAAGGTAGTAAAAATGCAAATGGAAGGGGAAGACCAAATAAACCTGAAGGAGTTAGTGAGAAAAATATGATTGCTCATATATAACAGAACATGAAGCCCTTGACAGGGCAGAATATGAAAAAGGATTCCTGTGGCCAATCCCAAAGAATTGGGACAAAAGTTTGTTTTGTTGCTAGGAACAATAAAATCTACACAAACACTATGATAAAATTCAGTTTTTCACCAATCTCCATCCAAACAAAAATGTTTAAAAAAGTCAACTACACTAAGTGATTATTATCCTTACTTGAAAGATAATGGGAATGACTGGCCATGACGGTGACTTTATATATCTCGCGTACTGTTCAAATGCAAACTGCACAACGATACCAACAAGGTAGGGTGCCAGGGTAGCAGAAGCTGCAGGGCCAGTCCATGGCCACACGAAACCCATTGTCACCATAGGAATTATGAGACTAAGAACTAAAACAGCAACAGAAGAAATTCGGTGCCCCAGTTGAGAAGCAAGGACTCTGTTATTCACAGCAGAAACTGGCTCAATGGGCTTTCGTAAATGGTCTACTAGTAGAAGAAACACCGCAACTCCACAGTAAAAAAGAGCCTCCGTGAAGAACAATATAAGGAAATCTGCAGATAGAGAATGTAAAATCATGGAGAGAAAGAACAATCTCAGTGGCCTAACCCGATAAGCAAAACAGTCACCATGGATAAATGCATAGATAACATAAATAAGCAAGAGAGGAACTCTTCTAATCAAAAATAAAAACAACAATGAAACAAGAATAAAATATAAACCAAGATATGTATGGGCCATTAGGGTAATTCACAATTTACTTGATTCCATTTGCTATTTAATTGTTGTTTCTTGAGTCCTTACACTAAAAGGTTTTCAAAAACCACATGCACCAAACCAATTGTGATGTAGATCGTATTAGGGAAGAATTAGGGATGAGAAGAGAAGAAGAAAGGGATGAAAAAAGAAGAAGAAGGGGATGAGAATAGAGAGATGGGAAGNGGAAAGAAGAAAGGGATGAAAAAAGAAGAAGAAGGGGATGAGAATAGAGAGATGGGAAGAAGCAATATCAAGATTCAATATTAATAATCAATAATCAAGTCTCCCAAAACAAATATCATATCCCCTATATATATAGGGGAACACAAATCCTAAAAGAACTCTAAAAGAAATAAATAGTCATAATGACAACTAAGTCCCTGAAAAACAAAATGACAAATAATTCATAATCCCTACATCTACGCCTACTATAACAAAATATAATCCGATTCCTATTATTCCCCCCCGGTTGAAAAGAACTCGCCTCTGGAGAGATACGATCATGATAATGCTCAAGAAGATTAGGGTCAAGCTGACGAAACTCCTCCTCAGTAATCCATGAATCATTAGTCTCTGGACGATCTCTCCACCGAACAAGATAACGACGATATCCTCCATCCGAGGAGCCCACAATCTGATTGTCAAATACATCTGCTATCTGGTCATGCAGCTATGGTGGAAACGGTAGAAGAATAGGAACTGTAGGTGATGTTGATGACAAAGCAACTCCACCTGTAGGAACACCTGCCGGCAACATAGGAGGTTCAAAAGTACCATGATAAGGAAACAAGTCCTCCACATTGAAAATAGGACTAATACTCATATTCAAAGGTAAGTTAAGGTGATATGCACTAGGGTCAAGCTTACGAAGAATACGAAAACGGCCAGTGGCTCGAGCATGTAACTTTTTAAAAGAATTTTTAAGGTAACGTTCAGGATGCATACGAACCATGACATAATCTCCCGCAATAAAGTCTTTATTCCTATGTTGAACATCTGCAGCCAATTTATAATTCTCATTACTTAATGTAATTTTCTGTCTTATGTTGGCATGCAAGTCATGAATATGCTGGGCAAAAGCTTCGGCTGAGTGCGAAGGACGGGAATCAGGAAGTAAAAGTAATAAGTCAATAGGTTGTCAACGGAAATGGCCATAAACAATCTCAAAAGGGGATCTACCAGTCGACCTGCTGACGGAGTTGTTTTAGGCAAATTCAGCAATAGGCAACAACAAATCTCAATTTCCTATCTTATCACCCACTAGACACCTAAGCAAATCTCCTAAGCTACGATTAATAACCTCAGTTTGACCATCAGTTTGGGGATGAAAGGCAGAGGAAAACTTTAGATTAGTTCCAAAGAGTTTTCAAAGTGTCTTCCAAAAATAACTCACAAATTTGACATCCCTATCAGACACAATGGAAATAGGCAACCCATGTAGTCGGACGACCTCTCTAAAAAATAACTTTACTACATGTGAGACATCAGTAGACTAAGTGCAAGGAATGAAATGGGCCATCTTAGAAAACCGGTCCACGACAACTAAAATGGAATCATGACTACGAGCTGTTTTAGGCAATCCTAAGACAAAATCCATACTAAGGTCTCTCCATGGTGTGTGTGGAACTGGTAATGGTGTGTACAAACCAGCGTTTTGTTTCCTAGCCTTTGTTAACTGACAAATGCAACACTGTGACACTATCCTAATAATGTCACGCCTTAAAGAGGGCCAATAAAACCTATCCTCAATAACTGCAAATGTCTTATCCCTACCAAAGTGGCCTGCCAGACCTCCCGTATGTAATTCCCAAATCAAGAAATCCATAAGTGAACTACGGGAAATACATAAGCGCGACCCTCTAAACAAGTACCCATCTCTAAAGAGGAAGTCAATGTACTCATGACGGTTACCAGACTAAACATCCTGACAAATGATACTAAAGTCAGGACAAGAGACATACTCATCTCTAATCCGGTCAAAGCCAATCACATGGACACTCATAGTTTGTAAAACAACAACTACACGGCTAAGAGCATCCGCAGGCTTGTTTTCAATACTCGCTCGGTGGTGAAGAACGAAAGTATACTCCTGAAGGAACTCAACCCACCGAACATGCCTAACACTCAATTTTCTCTGAGAATGAAGGTATTTAAATGCCTGGTGATCAGAATATAACACAAACTCAGTTAGCTATATATAATACCTCCAATGGCGGAGAGCTTGTACAACAGCGTAGAACTCTTTGTCATATGTAGAATATCGTTGTTTAGCGTCATTGAGTTTTTCGCTGAAGTAAGCAATAGGATGACTTTTTTGACTCAAAACTCCACCTATCCCTACACCAGATGCATCACAGGCGACCTCAAACACCTTAGAAAAATCTAAGTGTCGAAGGACGGGTGCCTCTGTCATCTTGTGCTTAATTTCTTGAAAGACTCTAGTTTTAGCAAGAGTCCATTGAAACTCCCTTTTTTTCATGCACTCTGTGATGGGAGCCATAATGGAACAAAACCCCTTAATAAAACGTCTATAGAAGGTGGTCAAGCCATGAAAGCTTTGAACTTCAAAAACTGTTCTTGGTTCTGACCAATTCCTAATAGCACTAATTTTCTCTGAGTCAACTGCAATACCTTGCTCAGAAATAACAAATCCAAGAAAAAACACTTGAGATTGCATAAAGGAGCACTTCTTAAGGTTCGCATAGAATCTTTCCACCCTTAATGTCTGCAAAACCTGTCGAAGATGATCCAAGTGCTCTTCTTTACACCGACTATAGATCAAGATGTTATCAAAATAAGCCACCATAAATTTTCCTAAGAAAGGACGCAGTATCTGAGTTATTACCTTCATAAATGTGTTAGGTGCATTAGACAATCAAAAGGCATGACCAACCACTCATAAAGTCCATCTTGGGTTTTAAAGGCGATTTTTCATTCATCTCCTAGTCTAATTCGAATTTGATGATAACCACTACGCAGATCAATTTTNTGACCAACCACTCATAAAGTCCATCTTGGGTTTTAAAGGCGATTTTCCATTCATCTCCTAGTCTAATTCGAATTTGATGATAACCACTACGCAGATCAATTTTGGAGAACTAAAGTGCACTGACCAAAAGGTCAAGCATATCTTCAAGTCTTGGTATAGGAAATCGATACTTGACTGTAATTTTGTTAATAGCACGATTATCAACACACATTCTCCAAGAGCCATCTTTCTTAGGGGTCAACAACGCGAGGACAACACATGGACTAAGACTATGACAAACAAACCCCTTTTGCAACAGTCCATCTACTTGCCTTTGGAGTTCAGCACGCTCAGTGGGATTCATACGATAATGGGAAAGATTAGGCAACTAAGATCCTAGAACTAAGTCAATATCATGTTGAACATCCCTCATTGGTGGCAACTTATCGGATAGTTTCTTAGGGATCACATCATGGAACTCACTCAATAGACTATCAACCTCAGGTAAAAGAGCGTCTTTAGATTCCAAAGGACTTTGGACAACTTCTTTGACAACTAGAGCTATCACTATACCAGACTCTTTTTTCTCTTTTTTAAATTTCCTATGAGTCAAGATGTAAAGGTCTTTCTTGTGAATTACTGGGGGCGATGACCTATGCTTTGAATTATTACCTTCTGAAGGTTTTGTAGGTTTTAACTTAATGGTTTTCCCCTTATACTTAAAAACATAGGTATTTTCTCTCCCATAGTTTGTCACATCTAGATCAAAAAGCCACAGGCGACCTAACAAGACATGAGCGACATCCATGGGTAAAACCTCACACCATATATGATCTGAATAATCACCCATCTGAATAGGGACCAAACATCTTTGTGAGACTTGTAAAGAGGTCTTATCAACCCGTGCAACCTTGTAAGGTTATGGGTGTGTCTCTGGCTTAAGCTGTAATTGAGCTACAACTGATTTATAGATGACATTCAATGAACTTCTCCCATCAATGACGACCTTGCAAACTTGACCCCCACATCGAACTAAAGTATGGAAAATGCTGGTGCGTTTCCATGCTTCTGTGCCTAAAGAGGTGGATAAGATGCATCGCATCACGTTGACACGAGTGTCATCGTTCTGTCATTCTTCCTCACCTTCATCTAGTAACTCTAGGGGTTCCTCATCTAAAGGGTCAACTTCTTGGTCAACATCCTCCCTGTCAAATGAATTCCCTAATCCCTGATCAATGGTCAAGGTACGTTGAGGGCACTATAAAACAATATGACCCTTGCCATGACAACGGTGACACTCTATGGAAGAACTATCCTGGCGAGAACCCGTGAGTATAGAATCTCGACCTCTAGTGGTATTACCTCTCAAGTTGGGATAATTGTTACCCCTGGATGTGACAAGCCCTGACTGGGTGATACCNTAGAACTAAGTCAATATCATGTTGAACATCCCTCATTGGTGGCAACTCATCGGATAGTTTCTTAGGGATCACATCATGGAACTCACTCAATAGACTATCAACCTCAGGTAAAAGAGCGTCTTTAGATTCCAAAGGACTTTGGACAACTTCTTTGACAACTAGAGCTATCACTATACCAGACTCTTTTTTCTCTTTTTTAAATTTCCTATGAGTCAAGATGTAAAGGTCTTTCTTGTGAATTACTGGGGGCGATGACCTATGCTTTGAATTATTACCTTCTGAAGGTTTTGTAGGTTTTAACTTAATGGTTTTCCCCTTATACTTAAAAACNCTGCAAATGTCTTATCCCTACCAAAGTGGCCTGCCAGACCTCCCGTATGTAATTCCCAAATCAAGAAATCCCTAAGTGAACTACGGGAAATACATAAGCGCGACCCTCTAAACAAGTACCCATCTCTANAGGCGACCTAACAAGACATGAGCGACATCCATGGGTAAAACCTCACACCATATATGATCTGAATAATCACCCATCTGAATAGGGACCAAACATCTTTGTGAGACTTGTAAAGAGGTCTTATCAACCCGTGCAACCTTGTAAGGTTATGGGTGTGTCTCTGGCTTAAGCTGTAATTGAGCTACAACTGATTTATAGATGACATTCAATGAACTTCTCCCATCAATGACGACCTTGCAAACTTGACCCCCACATCGAACTAAAGTATGGAAAATGCTGGTGCGTTTCCATGCTTCTGTGCCTAAAGAGGTGGATAAGATGCATCGCATCACGTTGACACGAGTGTCATCGTTCTGTCATTCTTCCTCACCTTCATCTAGTAACTCTAGGGGTTCCTCATCTAAAGGGTCAACTTCTTGGTCAACATCCTCCCTGTCAAATGAATTCCCTAATCCCTGATCAATGGTCAAGGTACGTTGAGGGCACTATAAAACAATATGACCCTTGCCATGACAACGGTGACACTCTATGGAAGAACTATCGTGGCGAGAACCCGTGAGTATAGAATCTCGACCTCTAGTGGTATTACCTCTCAAGTTGGGATAATTGTTACCCCTGGATGTGACAAGCCCTGACTGGGTGATACCTCGAGACTGATCAAATGGGACTGACCTTGATGGTTGAGATTCTCTGGTTTGAGAAGGCATGCAACACTGAAAGGGTGTCTAAGGTATTGTTCAATCTCTACGGCTTTATAATATGTTTCCTCAACCGTTTCAGGAGAGTGTAAGTTAGTCTCTCTCTTAATCTCAGGTCTCAAGCCATTAATGAATTTTGTAACTGTTACCCAAAGCTCTTCCTTTATGTCACATCNAAGTTAGTCTCTCTCTTAATCTCAGGTCTCAAGCCATTAATGAATTTTGTAACCGTTACCCAAAGCTCTTCCTTTATGTCACATCTCATAAAGAACTCTTCAAATCAAACTAGGTAATCAGTCACACTCGAGGTCAATTGACGCAATTCATCTATTTGTCCAAGAGTTAGCGCTTAAAGTAACTAGGGAGATATTTATCTCGCAATCTTTGTTTCATCTTAGCCCATAAAGTGATGGGTTGTCCCTCTAAGCGCTCTTGGTCTTGTTAGACTCCATGCCAATATCTCTTAGCTGAGCCAATGAGTTTTATTTTGGCAAAACAAACCCGATGGTTATCAGACATATCATACCAATCAAAATAGTCATTCATTTCATCCAACCAGTCTAAGAAAATAACAGGATCTAACTTACCATCAAAACTAGGAGCATCCACTTTGACTCTTTGTGTGATATCCCTATATTCTTCGTGGACATGCCTATGTCGAGGATTATGGTAACGCGGAGAGGGAGGCCTATGGGTTTGGACACGTGGTCGAAATAGCTCACGATAACCATCCATATCACCCTCTGCTGAATAGTCAGATATGACTACCTCAGCGGGATCCTACTGAAAATTCCTACGACCTACGTTTCGTCCAAAAGTGGTATTAGTAAGTGGCTGCCTATCTGGACAGTGAACTCTGCTCCCCTGAGCTACCTGTAAAGAGGGTAGGACACCTTGACATGAGTCAGTAGGATCTATCGGGAAAGACAGGTGCCTATCATGGTGTGCCTGTTTGAACTTAGGTGAAACTAGTGACTCACCCTGGTCATACTCTATTGGTCGTTTTCAATAAACTTAGTCAATTGGGCAAATTGAGTAGTAACTTGAGAAAGTTGTTACCCCAGTCCTTTAACTTCCTCACGTAACAAGTTGACTGAGTGTTTAGTATCAGTCACATCAATGGTGAGGGTCTCATATTTTTGTTCCAGTGCAGTATGAGACTCTGAAAGTTCTCGAAGGGTCATATTGAATGTAATGTAAAATTTGGGCTACTGTAAATTACCGACTAGACTAAAAATTAAATCAAGTAATAAAACTATAAATCAATGCAAATAGCCACATAACAACAAGTTTAGTATAAAGAGATTCAAATAAAAGTGAGACAAGCAACAATAGGTTTAACAAGGAATTAGGCAAGCTAAGTTATGAAGGTAATGTGTGGGAACAAAGAAAGTTATGAAGGTGGTGTGTGGGAACAACAAATAAAGAAAGTTGAGGTAATTATTATTTTTTTTTACTTTCTAACAAATATAAATATTAGTCACCAATTCTCAACGAAGAGAACTCGTACATAGTGTTAGATGCACTTCCAAGAGGATACTTGACAATTGAGATGATGATTCTACTAATTCTGAAACTTTCTAGAGTGTTTCTGCAATTTCTGAAATTTCTGGAGTGATGTTTATGTAATTGTCTGAATCTGTTGGGATTTTTCTGCAATATTGGAACTTCTAGATGATATTTCTGTTCACTCCACTTGGGACGACACAACGGCAGCAAAGTAGCAGCAACGATGACTGGCGTCGAAGATTCCGACGAATAAGCTTGATGTCGATGGTGACGAACAGTGAACCAACGACTGAACTTCTGAAGAACAGTGCCTGCAAATCTGATGACGAACCAGTAGCTTTCTTCCTCTCCCCAGGCTCCTGTGCATTGGCTGTTGAACTGTGATTCGAATGAGCAATAAATGTGATCCTCACAAATCTTCTATTGAACCATGACTGCCAATCTATTGAACGTGGTGGCTGGACACTTAACAAGGGTCGTATTTAAGCTCTAATTTTTTGTGAACAGTAGTCGACAATGAATAGTGCTCAATGAACAGGAACAATGAACCGTGAATAGTACGTGATAAATAGTAACGATGGAATAGTGCGCGATGAACAATACTTTTTTTTTCCCTTTTTTTTTTTTTTGAGAACGAAAACGATGAACAGTACAGATCTGGCAAAGATTTTTTTTTTTTAAATTGGACAGTGCCAATGAACAGTAATGATGACCAGTACCTCAATGAACACTACTGCGATGAACAGTATTTTTTTTTTTTGAATCGAAGTTGGGTTCTAATACCAAATTGATGTAGATCGTATTAGAGAAGAANCAGGAACAATGAACCGTGAATAGTACGTGATAAATAGTAACGATGGAATAGTGCGTGATGAACAATACTTTTTTTTTCCCTTTTTTTTTTTGAGAACGAAAATGATGAACAGTACAGATCTGGCAAAGATTTTTTTTTTTTTAAATTGGACAGTGCCAATGAACAGTAATGATGACCAGTACCTCAATGAACACTACTGCGATGAACAGTATTTTTTTTTTTTGAATCGAAGTTGGGTTCTAATACCAAATTGATGTAGATCGTATTAGAGAAGAATTAGGGACGAGAAGCGAAGATGAAAAGGATGAGAAAAGAAGAAGAACGAGATGAGAATAGAAAGAGAATTTTAGGAAGAAGCAATATCAAGATTCAATATCAATAATCAATAATCAAGTCTCCCAAAACAAATATCATATCCCCTATATATATAGGGGAACACAAATCCTAAAAGAACTCTAAAAGAAATAAATAGTCATAATGATAACTAAGCCCCTGAAAAGCAAAATGCCAAATAACTCTTAATCCCTATGTCTACGTCTACTATAACGAAATATAATCCGATTCCTATCAAATTGTCTCTGGTTTTGGCTCTTTTCTTTATAAAACCGGTACTCCAGCTGTCTCTTAAACTATTATAATGGGCAATAACCTGTCACTTGGCCTAGAGTTACCAATTTCACAAATTTTCAGATTCTCCAGCACTAGATTCAGAAGTGTTGACCCAATGAAACAGAACTGATCTGTCAATCCACTCTATTTTAACCTACATTTGTAATAATTGATAAACATTTACTGCACTCACAAAATCATATCCTTGTTGAACTAAACATCTTAATATGACTCTAAGCTAATTTATGCATTTTTGACATCAATATCTCTTGTCAATACCCTTCCATTTGATTATCATTCATATTAAGGTTATTTTTCTATATGATTACAAATGTTTCTTGGTTATAATAAGGATTGGTTATTGCTTTTATTTTTGACTAAATAAAAACAAAGACACAAACCTAGAAAAATGCACCGACCTGTTAATAGAGAGTCCTCAAATACAGTAGAGAGTAGCCTTCGCAAGTATAGCGAGGGAAAGATGAAGGAAGATACAAGTACAGCAGGAGCAGCAAACCATAGTAGATTGTCCTGATTCCTTCCCCGGCTGGATACAAGGTTTGCATCTTCTTTTCTATAAGGGCGATTATAAAATGAGATTAAACCTGGTCTTCCTCCAGTTCCATCAATATGAACATATGAACTGTCTACAGGAGACATATCTTCAATCAGAGGAAATTCCTCTTCTTCATCTGAAGCATCTGATTTGAGCTCACTGTATTCTAACTGATCTTCGGAGGTGGCAAACAAAATATGTCGCCTTTTTGGAAAACAATATTTTACCTTCAGCTTTCCATGCATGAACTGGCAAGACTTCACAACTTGCAGTAACAAAAGAAAAACAAAACCAAAGAAAAAGGAAATATTTAGAAAAGTGGTAAGCAGTTTCAAGCTGTACAACATTCCAGAACAGAGGTTGAACTTCAACACAGTCATCCAATGTATGCTTGCACAAATGAAATCACACCTTATGGCAACAATTAACCAGCAAGAAGCTGCCCTCTCATAGGGTTCAAATTAAACTTGCTGTACTTTTATCAGAAGTTAGTTAACCCCATTGCTTTCAAAGACATCAACTTTTGGGCTAGCTAAATTGCAAGGTTGATCTTTGCCAAAAGTCTCTGAAGATGGTATTGCTAAATTGCACCCTCAAAAAATTTAGAACTTGGGGAAAACTTAACATGTCATAAACACTACCTTTAGCATTTCTCAGCTGCTTTGCATCAGATTTCTGGCTGTCAAATGCTCCTCTTGTTAAGCTCATCTGGAAATTGTAGCATAGCAATTATTTGAGTCATTTCGAGAACACTCTCTGAGTTGGTGTTTGAAGATAGCAAATTCAAGCAAAAGATATATAAGCCTTTCTCTTCCCTTTGTCAAGGCCATAGTCGTGAGTGCGTGTATGTGTGGTGTGTTATCCAAGTCTGAGAGGGGACAAAAAGTGTCATTCTAATTGAATTGTTAGTCACGAGAAAAGAAAAAAATAAGAACAAAACCCTTATGGTAGCAATAAGGAGATATGGATAATTACCAGGATGACATTGCATGCAACACACAATGGAGAAGAGTCAAATATCACCACTCCAACCTTGAAAAGGGAAAAAAAAAAGGTTTTCCTCGAAGATGAAATTGCATCTGGATTTGATAAACTTAGACTCAGTGAATTTGGATTCCCCATATTTATATTATTTTGCATGTAATGCTTTAATAATGTTGCATGACTTAATTTCTCAAATAAATGCTAGATCCTCTGAAGGAGTAGAAAATCTACAATTTGTAAATGCTCAGGCATGGAGTTTTATGCCGCTTAATGAAGTATGTGACAGGAGTGAAATTGAGTAGAAATGGGTTGAAACAACAAACAACACCTCTCCCTTTACTCACTGGTGCTTGAAACAATACAATTTTCCCTCCCCCTTTCGTAATTCCAATACCACGCAATTTAGGAGAGCCAGAATAGCCCATTAGTCGCTTGTACATCACTAGGTTCATTCGATGGCTGAATAGGATTATGGCAGCCGTCTTAATGAAAGATGGCAGAATCCATTTAGTAGCATAACCAGCACCAAGCCGTTTTTTTGGTGGGGTGATGATACAGGTAAAACAAAACTTCACAAGATAAATTTTGATACCTCATGCTATTTTTCCAGAACAATGCACAATCTAGCAGAATTCAACGTGCGAACCAACTTAAAATAGCAGGGACAAGAATTTGCATATAATAGATATACATATTTGTGTGTGTGTGTGTGTGCAAGACCTAACAAAGATTCAAACAGAATTGATGTAACTCACTTCAGACATGGCTCAGAGGCAATAAGCAGCAGTACATATTTTTGTTCTTACTTACAATTAATAGGCATTTAATTTTTAAACAACACACATACCCAGAATCAGAATTACAAAGTACCTTCGATATCAACACTCAAACAAACTACATAGCCACTGAAAACCTAATTGCAACATCTATATACTGAAAAGCAAACTTCCCAGACCAAAAGAAAGCGGACAAAAAAAAAATTGACTGCTACAAGGAATCGAAGACATCGTACCTGTGAACTTCTTCTTGACTGAATAGGAGAAGAGAGAGAAGTGGAAACACAAGAAAACGAAGACCCAATTTTAACTGCCATTCTCTCAAGCAAGAAACACAAGCCTGGTCTATTACACGCTAAGGGATTGCATGTTGATTGAACTTTAACTAGAATCCATTTGATTTCAACAAAAACTAAGAAATACCCATTCAAGAAATGTTATAGAGAAAGTTGGGGTGGTGGGAAAATTGATGAATTCGTAGATTTTAAGGTGTGGGTTTTGGGAGTTGGAAGGAGGGACTGAGAGAAACAAAGAGTCTGCCTTGTTCTGTTCTGTTTTCCTTGGCCTTCTTTTTTTTCGGTTTTGTGATACGCTTTTTCCTTGGCTTTTTTTGTTTTTTTCAATGGTTAGAGTTGTTTAAGGTCTAACCTTGATATGTCCACGTAGGATGTCAGTGGAGCGGGGGTATAGTTTTTATTTTTGTATTCGCTTAAAAAATTTATATTTATTTTCGGTCTATCCCATTAACGGGTATATTTTTCATCTCCATTCCTGTCCGCAGAAAATTTTTTAATCCCCGTTCCCATTTCCCCCATACCCGCACAAGTCCAAGTCCAAGTACAAGCACAAACCCAAGTTAACGTAATCAAAAATTCTAAATAAATTCAACATTTAAAAATCCAACAACATTCTCCAATAACTATTTGAATTTGATATAATTCAAATAATAAATAAAAAAATATTGAAAATACAAATAACATAACACAATATACCTCATCAAATGTCAAAAATATTACGTAATGAGAATGAAAAAACTTTTGATATAATTGTCCAACATAACACAATACATGTCTTAACAAATGTCCAAAATAACAAACAACAAATGTCACTACTTTAATGACATTTAGTTTCACACAGTCACAAGGTCATGTAACTTCACACAGTCACTATTTTGTCATGTAGCTTCACACGGTCACACCTGTAATTTAATAAAGAAAATAAAACATAAAAAATTATAATAATTGCATAAAAATATTTTGTATTTACTAATAAAATTGATTGGTTGAAATTAAAAAATTATCAACTCAATCATCTCTTAACACCATCGGTGATAGTAGAATTTACTTCTTCAACATCATTTTCCTACATCATTAAAAGAAAAAAAAAATTAAACTCTTCCAAAGAGAAATTTTCCATTTAAACGATATACCTCATCATCAACATCAAGATCCTCCAATAATGTGTAGCTCTTTAGGCCCTTCAAAGTAGATGAACCTAACAAAAAAAAAATGCATTAATCATACTTTACCCCCCAAAAAAGTTATGATGCATATACAAATGATATTGCGTTACCTCGTTCTTCAGCACATAACCAACTTTGAGAGCACATTAAAGCCTCTACTGTAGTTGGAAAAAATCTATTGCGATGTGGACTGATCACCCTCTTACTTGTGCTAAAAACAGATTCCGAAGCAACAGTAGAAACAAGAATAGCAAAAAGATTTTTAGTAATCATTTGAAGTAGGGGATAGTTGAGACCATTTGTCTTCCAAAAAGATAATATATCAAAATCTGAAGTTCTTGGCATCATACCATCTTCTAAGTAACGATCCAACTCAGACCTCCCACATGCTTTTGTTAAGTCTTTTATTTGTATAAACTTATCAAAATCAAAGAGATCATCAATTAATGGACATTTGAAATCAATATCTGATTGAAGAGGGTGAGAAGAAGGTTGTGGTTCATAATTACTTCCTTGCCTCACTTCATATTCGTCTACTAATTCCAAGTAAAGTTCTTTAATCCTTTTCACTTCATTTAAAGCTTCCACACCTCCATACATTTTTCTCATAGTAATACTCCAAAATTCCCAATTTATATCATGGATCTAAAACAGTGGCTATTCCCATAATACTATGAATCACATTCCAATATTTGTTAAATTTTTCCAACATATTCAAGGCCATATTTTTTTATCACGTCTTTGGGACTTTGAAGCCATTTAGATATTTCTACTCTTATCCCACAAATAGTTGGAAAGTATATATTGGCAGTAGGATACTTTGTACCTGAAAATAATTTTGTTGCAGTATGAAACAATTCCAATTTTTCACAAATCTCTCTTGTCACCTCCCAATCATCTTCACTCGGACAAATCTTGTAATGAGAATCTCGATATTTCAAGCGAGCAAACACATCTCTATAAATCAAACTAGTTTAAAGCATAAGAATAAATCAAGATTAAAATATTAAAAAAGAATAAATCATTCGTAGTCTAACCCAAAAAATTATCAAGAATTGAATTAGACGTTCTATCAAACTTTGTGTAAAAGGGGAGAAAGGAAAATAAATTAATAAAGGAAAATTTCTTTCATCCCCCTATAATTAGGTCTAAATTTAATGACACCTATTTCCAATTCTAAAATTTTCATTATCATCCCCAATCGGTATTTGTTGGGTTATAGTGTTAACGACAATTATTAATTTACAGAAATACCTTTAAATATTTTATAGGGTAAATTTTATCCACACTCGTTGTAAATAGGCATAATTTTAACGATACCCCTTGTAAATAGACTTGTCTTTAACAATATTTCCTCCCGATTCTGAAATTTTAATGCACTCCTTTTAGTTCTATTATATTAACATTTAGGTTCATCAATTTAATATTTAATTNAAAAATTTATTGCGATGTGGACTGATCACCCTCTTACTTGTGCTAAAAACAGATTCCGAAGCAACAGTAGAAACAAGAATAGCAAAAAGATTTTTAGTAATCATTTGAAGTAGGGGATAGTTGAGACCATTTGTCTTCCAAAAAGATAATATATCAAAATCTGAAGTTCTTGGCATCATACCATCTTCTAAGTAACGATCCAACTCAGACCTCCCACATGCTTTTGTTAAGTCTTTTATTTGTATAAACTTATCAAAATCAAAGAGATCATCAATTAATGGACATTTGAAATCAATATCTGATTGAAGAGGGTGAGAAGAAGGTTGTGGTTCATAATTACTTCCTTGCCTCACTTCATATTCGTCTACTAATTCCAAGTAAAGTTCTTTAATCCTTTTCACTTCATTTAAAGCTTCCACACCTCCATACATTTTTCTCATAGTAATACTCCAAAATTCCCAATTTATATCATGGATCTAAAACAGTGGCTATTCCCATAATACTATGAATCACATTCCAATATTTGTTAAATTTTTTCAACATATTCAAGGCCATATTTTTTTATCACGTCTTTGGGACTTTGAAGCCATTTAGATATTTCTACTCTTATCCCACAAATAGTTGAAAAGTATATATTGGCAGTAGGATACTTTGTACCTGAAATTTGTTGCAGTATGAAACAATTCCAATTTTTCACAAATCTCTCTTGTCACCTCCCAATCATCTTCACTCGGACAAATCTTGTAATGAGAATCTCGATATTTCAAGCGAGCAAACACATCTCTATAAATCAAACTAGTTTGAAGCATAAGAATAAATCAAGATTAAAATATTAAAAAAGNTTCACTTAAACGATATACCTCATCATCAACATCAAGATCCTCCAATAATGTGTAGCTCTTTAGGTCCTTCGAAGTAGATGAACCTAACAAAAAAAAAATGCATTAATCATACTTTACCCCCCAAAAAAGTTATGATGCATATACAAATGATATTGCGTTACCTCGTTCTTCAGCACATAACCAACTTTGAGAGCACATTAAAGCCTCTACTGTAGTTGGAAAAAATCTATTGCGATGTGGACTGATCACCCTCTTACTTGTGCTAAAAACAGATTCCGAAGCAACAGTAGAAACAAGAATAGCAAAAAGATTTTTAGTAATCATTTGAAGTAGGGGATAGTTGAGACCATTTGTCTTCCAAAAAGATAATATATCAAAATCTGAAGTTCTTGGCATCATACCATCTTCTAAGTAACGATCCAACTCAGACCTCCCACATGCTTTTGTTAAGTCTTTTATTTGTATAAACTTATCAAAATCAAAGAGATCATCAATTAATGGACATTTGAAATCAATATCTGATTGAAGAGGGTGAGAAGAAGGTTGTGGTTCATAATTACTTCCTTGCCTCACTTCATATTCGTCTACTAATTCCAAGTAAAGTTCTTTAATCCTTTTCACTTCATTTAAAGCTTTCACACCTCCATACATTTTTCTCATAGTAATACTCCAAAATTCCCAATTTATATCATGGATCTAAAACAGTGGCTATTCCCATAATACTATGAATCACATTCCAATATTTGTTAAATTTTTTCAACATATTCAAGGCCATATTTTTTTATCACGTCTTTGGGACTTTGAAGCCATTTAGATATTTCTACTCTTATCCCACAAATAGTTGAAAAGTATATATTGGCAGTAGGATACTTTGTACCTGAAAATAATTTTGTTGCAGTATGAAACAATTCCAATTTTTCACAAATCTCTCTTGTCACCTCCCAATCATCTTCACTCGGACAAATCTTGTAATGAGAATCTCGATATTTCAAGCGAGCAAACACATCTCTATAAATCAAACTAGTTTGAAGCATAAGAATAAATCAAGATTAAAATATTAAAAAAGAATAAATCATTCGTAGTCTAACCCAAAAAATTATCAAGAATTGAATTAGACGTTCTATCAAACTTTGTGTAAAAGGGGAGAAAGGAAAATAAATTAATAAAGGAAAATTTCTTTCATCCCCCTATAATTAGGTCTAAATTTAATGACACCTATTTCCAATTCTAAAATTTTCATTATCATCCCCAATCGGTATTTGTTGGGTTATAGTGTTAACGGCAATTATTAATTTACAGAAATACCTTTAAATATTTTATAGGGTAAATTTTATCCACACTCGTTGTAAATAGGCATAATTTTAACGATACCCCTTGTAAATAGACTTGTCTTTAACAATATTTCCTCCCGATTCTGAAATTTTAATGCACTCCTTTTAGTTCTATTATATTAACATTTAGGTTCATCAATTTAATATTTAATTTTATCAAATTAATGTTGTTTATTTAATTTAAACTAAATTAACATCTCATCTCATCAAATCAACACAAATTGATATTTAATTTTATTAAATTAGCATTTAGTTAATTTAATATTTTATTTCATCAAATTAATATTATTTCTTTAATTTAACATTAAATTATTATTTAATTTCATC